AAATAATAGTAGAACAAGCATACTCGAGATTTTTTAAAAAATTTAAACCAAAGTACTGCTGTCTTGAAACATCTTGCAAAAGATCCTAGCCTTTTAAACCTATGAAGCGATGCTCAGACGTCCTGGGCGGTTTATTCAGCGTGGATAGGCGGGGCATTGTTCTCCGAGTAGTGCTGCAGTCGCCCCTGCGGAGGTTAGTGGCCCCACTGCCGCTGTCACCGTAACTTTGCCTCTTGATCGGATAAAATATTTCACCATTTAATAGGCCAAGTTTTATGTTTTTTAATTTCCTTTTTTTTCCTCTGTATTTTTAAAGAAAGATACTAACTTTTGATCGTGCATTTAAAGAATCTAAGCAGGGGGACATGCAAAAACAATCATCATCCACTTGGATGTCATTTTATAGATTAACACTGTGTGCTTTTGTATGAAAAATATATATAATTTAATAGTATAAGAAAAGAAGATATATATTCATTTGCACTCATGCAAAACAAACTTTGCTCTACAAAATTTGTGTCTCTGTGATTTAAAAATGCATGTATAGCATGTAAAGGAAAAGCATCTCAGTTAGTGTACATCACACCTTTCTCTTGTTCTGTTTGTAACGGTTGATTTGGGTTTTGTGGGGGGGTTTCTTGTTGTAGTTGTTGTTTTTAAATCACGGTAGACTTCTGTATATCCTAGAGTACTGAGCTGGTCTTGTTCACAGTGATTGCCAAGAAATGGTGCGTCTTTTCTTTGGTTTGTTGTCCCTTCCAGGAGATGGCAGCAGACCCTGCAGGTAATAGGTGTGCACACTGTGTTACAGCCAGTTTGGATACTGAAAGTCTAGGATTTGTTGAAGTTCACTGTATTGCTGTATTTTTGTAGATATTTAAAACTCAATAAAAACGATTAGTCATTCTCTTTTTGCTGTACACTGTTGCTTATAGCATTCATTTTTTCCTTGACATTGAGTAGTTAACATTTAAATGTTCCTCCTATACTTGTGTTGTGTTGTCTTTGCTTATATAGAGTCATTGGAGTTAACCTGAATGTACGTGTACACACACACACACACACACACTCTCACATACTCTTTAATACTTCTGAACTCATTATCTTTTAAAATCGTAATACTATACCAGCAGTTAAATTCCCCCTCCTCACGGTATTTCTCTTCTTCCTGTCTGAAAATGGAACTGACTTGTTTTATTCCTGCCAATATATGTACTAAATGTAATGAAGTGAGTTATTTTTGAAATGTAAAAATTCACTGTGCAATTCATATGTAAGCAATAAAATATAATCAAATTACTTCTGTATAAGTACATTTTTATAATAGCCATTGCATTTATTAACCTTACTCACTATTTTGCTTTAGTTAATAATGAAGGGCTTTAGTGGAAATCAAGCTGCCAGGTGGATTCACCCTCACACACGTGGCAGCATGAGATCCGTAACTGCAGTCACGGTGCGGCGGAGCTAAGACGCAGCGGCCGGTGTGTGCCTGTGAAGCTCCGTTGCCAAGTCTGCATCAGTCTCAGTGCTTGCGCTTTCAGCCCGCCTCTCCGCTGTGTGAATTACTGAGGCCTTTCTCTAAGAAAGAACAGCCCTCCGCTAGGACCCGCTGCCTCCCTGTAGAGCGGGTGGGCTTCAGGGACTTGCGCTAGGAGTGCAGCGGCGCGGCCAGGAGCATGGGCTGTGGGTTCGGATCCCACCCTCGCTTCCTGGCTGAGCGAGTGGCCTTAGGCAAGGGACTGACCATTGGGCTCTGAAGCCCTTGTCTCTAAGATGAGGATGGGATGTTCTGCCCTGGGAGGTTATCTGTTGAGGGACAAGTGAATCACTTAGGAGAGGTTCCTTGTGCCACGCCTACGTGGCACGCAGTAGGCACTGAATAAATGTTTATCATCAATAATCTTCCTTGAGTTCACTATCATTGAATCTTAAAGCAGCTTGACAGCTGTCTCATTTCTGTAATCTTGGGCCAATCACTCAATTTTTCTGAACCTGTTTCTTTAGGTATAAAACGAGTAGTCTGTATGACATGCTGTCTCACATGCTTTCTTTTTAACTAATTTGGTGGATCCTGTTTCCTGTTGTCTCATCTGACACATTATTGACCTCAAGTACCAAGTTCAAATGAATGAAAAGGCGGAACCAGTGTGGAGCATCAGACTGCCTCTTAGTTTTGCTATATTACAATCGCCTTGTACTTAGACTTTGAGTCAGAGGCAGACTATTAGGAAGCTAGTCACTTAGCCTAGGTTCTCCCAAAACAGAGCCTAAAGCAAAGGCTTACATGCAGAATTGCTCTGGGAAATGATTGCAGGGAACCCCAGGAAGGGATTGGACCGATGAAATGGAAGGAGAAAAAGTTCATTAAGAGGATTCATTTACGAGCCGTGTAGGTGACTAGAAATCCATCCTACTGGGCCTTCTAAGGAATCTCACAAACAATCTCAGAACTGGCCACCCACTTGATGAAGGCTGGGCAAGTGTGTATCCTTGGCTTCATGGTCAAGGATGGCCCCGTTGACATTAACTCCCCCACATTGTGCACCGTGTGCTTGAGTGCTGAGCAGTTTCCTGAAGTGTGCCGTGCCTTTCTCTCAGAGAAGTTCTGTGTCAGATGCAAGAAGTGTGGACGCACAGAAGGTAGGCATTGTCAGATCCCACTCCAAGAACGAGGCAGGTTGAAGTCCGTGTGGGACTGGTTCTCACAGCGGGACCTGGAGTAAGCGGTGGGGATTGGGTGATGTGAAGTCAGGCCAGAGATACCCTATGTAGCACTGCCTAGTGTGTTTAAGGACAGGACTAAATCCAGGAGCATCGGGTTTATAGTTTCAAGTTTCTGCCATCTTGCTTAATGAGTCAAGGGGGAGATTTTTAAACATGAGAGGTTTTAGGGCATATTTGCATGCTGATTTCAATGACAGAAGAGAGGGGTCAATTGATACAGAATAAAAAGGAAATATTTGCAGAAATCAAACCCTGAAAAGGCAATAGGGCACTGTACCCAGAACGTAGATGGAGGGATTGACCTTTGATGTGGATAAGGAGCACTTTTCTCATTGTAACAAAAGTAAGACAAAGAGTGCTGGTAATTTTGTAGCTTTGGTGGCAGGAAGATCAGGGCATTCCCACTGGAAAACTTCAATTTTCTCATGGAGTACTAGGTGAGGTCATTGTCACTAGACGTTTGCCATCTCTACATGTCTGAACCAAGACACTAACTGCCTTTATTCTGGGCTATTTTTTAGGGATATAATATAGCATCCAGACTTGGAACACAGAGATGGGGGTCTCCCTTTGTAGCAAAGGGAAGCATGTTTATTGTCCTATGTAATAAGGACAGTCTCTTCTGGGGGTAAAGGTCAGGCAGGCTTATAGTCAATTACGAAAGTTTTAGGTTCGCTGTGTAATGAAAGCCAGGAGGTGTGGAGGTGTCATCTGGCCCTCTTTGCATTGGCTCAGGCCTTGAGGGACCAGCATAAATGCTGACACTCAGGCCGCTCCCATTACTGCAAAAATAACGTCCGTTGTCACTGACCCCAGCATCTCGTGTCTTCTGCCAGCGTCCGTGAAATGCAGACCAACTCATTAAGTTGCAAATAAGGTAAAATCTCAGTCTCTTCACAGTTCTTGACATTCCGCAGCTGAGAGCAAGGGAAGGTGTTGGAGGTTTAAAGACAGGAGAAAAGGGGCCAAACAATTGTTTTAGCAGAAAAATCAACTAAGAAGAGGTAGAGCATCCATGTGAGGTTCTGTGGTCATGAACTTGAAGTGGGTCACCTCGATGGCCTTTCCCCTTCAGCAGTATATAGTTGCCTCCCATGAGGGTGTGGAGAAGGCAGATGCTCGCCATTCTGCACGGCGACTGTGTGGGGAGTGGGTACTTAGTAAATACCTGCTGGTAAAGGAAGGGGATGCCGTCAGCGGCATGTCTTGCCTGGACCGTTGTAGTGCTTGTGGGCTGATGGCCAGCTGCTCTCACCTGCATCTCTTTGCCTAAAGGCTTCCTCTGGCCTCCAGAGCCCTTTCGCCCCCATGTGCAGCAGGCCAGAAGGAGTAAAGATGGAAGTCGATCTCTCTCCTCCTCTCCAGGTTTGTGTGTCTGTGTGTGTGTGTGTCAGTGAACACGAACTCTTCAGTGGCTCTGCTCTCCCGCCTGTCGGAGGGGCTGGCAGGGACTCATCCCACTGCAGGACGGATGACCTACAGGATTTGAGAACCAAGGATGCAGTGGGAACTATGGAGTTTGTGTTCTTATCAAATATTGAGGGGGACTCTGAAGGCAGTTGCCTTTCGCCTGGGACACAGTAAAATCTCAGTAACTATCTAGTGCGTGGGTGGGTGAGTGATAAAGTTTCAGGGCTTTTTATATTTCCCATTGTATTTGTCCTCCTGTGTCCAAGTAGGCATTTGCATCTCCCAAACTTCCAGCCACTGGGATAAGCCCTGTTTTTTTTTTTTTTAAAACCTGTTTACTATTGCCAGACCCAAGACAGAGTTATCAGTGATTCTTCATGGTGGTGACCGTGGCATATGGCCCCTCTCTTAATCACTAGGGTGGCGAGTGTATTTTTAGGGTACGTGTGAGAAGAGCTGTCACTTCAGCCCTTGGCATACATCTTTGGTGGGTTAGTGATGACCCATCAGTGATCTCATAAGATTGATTAAACATACTCCCTTCTACATTTTTTAATAGAAGAAAAAGTAGCTGTCAGTGATTAGGGGGTGATCATTAATTTCCCCTCCGTTCCTCTGTCATCTAACCTTTGCCATCTATTCATGCACCAATCCCTGCAACATTTCCTATAAACAAAACCAAACAAAGAAATGTTGATTGGAGGCAGGAGGGTATAGCTCAGTGGTACAGTGCACGCCTAGCACGCACGAGGTCCTGGGTTCAATCCCCGGTACCTACACCAAAAGTAATAAATAAACAGATAAACATAATTACCTCCCCCACAAAAAATAAAATTGAAAAAAAAGAGAAAGAAATGTTGATTGGAATATTTATTTATTGAGCTTCCAGCATGCACTAGGAAGCAGACACACTGGAATGTGAGCTGACGGATCACAGTGCGTGTGTGCAAGGACCTCCCTGCCTCTCTCCTCTCTGAGCCTCTGCTGAGGATGGAAGGAAGGAGACCGGCCCGGGGAGGTGGCAGGGGGAACAGAACTACAGGGTGTGCTGATCATTTTCCCTGGGAATCTATCTGGGGCCATGCTGTGGCCTGGTTCCCGTGAGACCAGGTGGCTTCCCCAGGAATCTTCTGGTTCTTCTCAGGCTCTCTGGGCGGGGCAGGGCCTCCTCACTGTTCTCCTCGGAGCTGGAGCCAAGGGAGGAAGCGGAAGGCGTGGTGTCCCCGCAGGATGGCTGGCTGCCCTGGCACTCCTGTCTGCCAGGTGACTTGAGGCTTTGGTTAAAGAAGGCGGAGGCCATGCACTCTGCCGCTGTCTGGTCACAGGCACAAAGCAGCTTCGCGCACAGGCTCTGCCCCACACCTTAGAGGCCAAGAACAGAGCAGCAGACCTGAGACACCGTACGGTGATTGCTCCTTCAGCCCTGCGTCCCACCCCCCATCTTGAACCTCCTGGTCCTGCACACACGGATCCCTCTATGGGGAATATTCCTAACTTTCTCCTCCTTGTTAACTCAGACTTGTCTGTCCAAAATCCACTTGGAAGCCCCTCCTCCAGAAAGCTTCCTTAAGCACCCTCTTCCCGGAGAAATGAAGTGTCTTCCCAGGGGCGCCCACTGAATCCTACCTTGTGGTTCTTTCCATCACAGCAGAAATAACTTTTTTGCTATTTGTATTTTTATTTGCTCAACCTAGCAACCCTATTTTATCCCTTGACTGTTTCAGTGGCCTGCAGTGGGGGCAGTGGGGGCAGTGTGGGGAGCATCCGTGTGATTCAAATGAAAGAATGAGTCTGGAGGTGCTCAGACAGAGATAAGCATTCTGCACACAGTACCCTTGTTGTCAGTGGTTTTCAAAGACATATTTGGTCAGTTTAAGTTTTTCATCTGAGCCTGCCATGAAGTATTGATCAACTGGACTTTTTCTCATAACACGGACCCTCCAAATCTTCTACACTGGCCTTCACATCGCAGCAGGAAGTAGAAAGAGCAGAGGAGGAAAAAAAAAGCAGAGGGAACACACCCGTGAGCCTGTTCCCCCCGAGCAGCTCTGCCCTTTCACCCTTGTGCCCAGGGTGGAACAGCCCAGAGCGGGCTCCGAGACGCCCTCACGTCTCACTGCCCGACACCTGCGTCTGCTACAGGACACTGTGCTCAGAGCTCACAGAGGGCCGGAACTGGTTCACTGAAGCCCATGGAAGCTCAGAGTGCACAAGCAGCACCCCTGGATTCTGTGAGGCCAGTGGGACAAAGGTGCCCTTAACTGTGCACATGTGACCTCAAGGCATGATTGCATCACAAACGATAAACATCTGATCCTGTCACTCAGAGCCCGAAACCCACCCCTGGCCCCTCATCCCCTAGAGGACAAAAGATAAGTGTTTCATTCTTGGGCTCATGATACCCAAGAGGGGCCCAGGGAGGAAGCAGCACTGATGGGCTCAGCCGGGGGCTTCCCTGGACCAAAAGTGAGGGTGAGGCGCATCCCTGCAGGGCTCTTGAGAAGGCACTCAAGGGATCACTTCCTTTTAAACTGCAAAGTATAAGGGAAAGGCGTGCACTGATGTAGATGAAGAAGTACCACCTGAGATGCAGATGAAGCCAATTCTAAAGCAAGCCGGGTACAGTGATGCTCATGAGGGTGGAACTGTTTCCAGACGCCCCTCTCCCCCGTCCCCGGCTGAAGCCCTGGATGGCCACAGAAGCGCCTTCGACGCCAGCACTGGGAGGAGTGGAGCTGCAGACCCACTTCTCCCTTCAGCTGGAGTCGCTCCCCTTTTTATGAGATTTCTCAGGAAACCTCACTTGGGAAAGGGGGTCTGCTTCTCAGGAAAAGAGACCCACTGGCCTCATAAAGACTCATTTCTGGGTCTGAGGCAATCTGGGTTTCCAGTCCCAACCCCAGCTCCTGTGTGATCTTGGACCTCAGTCATCTCCTCTGTAAAATGGGAAGGCCCACAGTGCTACCTCATGGGGCGGGTGTGAGGATGAACTGCGCTCACACACACTCAGAACTTAGAAGAGCACATGGTTTGTACCCAGTAAGCTCGGGTGATTTACATCATTCCCCGCCTGCTCTCACTGGCTCTGTGACTTGTGTCAGCTGACCTATCCTCTTGAACTTGAGCCTCCTCCTCAGTGGAACCGGGACAGTATTAAGGGCCTTGAAGTTACGAGGAGCAGGACATCGCCTTAGAGATGAACAAGGGCTTGGAAGAGCATCTGAAGATGAGCTATGGTCCTGATGCTGACCCTAATGAAAGAATAACCCAGCGTACTGGCCCACAGCACTCACACTTGGGGCTCCCATCCACGCACACCACTGGTGACCGAGGAGGCCTCTCAAGCAGGCAGCCCAGCCTTCTCGCCTGCTCCAGGCAGCAGTGATGCGACAAACAGCACCTAGGAGGAAGGAGGTTCCTTTACTGCCCAGAGCCCCCAGCTGCCCCCAAACTCCCTCCAGGCCTGCTTCTCCCCATAGTAGTGAGAGAGGCCGGTCCCTCCTTTCCAGGGCGCACTGGGCTGATTCATATGCACAGCAAGGGCCGCCAGGTATGGTTGTTCAGATTGTCCACTGCACAACAGTGCCTCATCTAAAGCAGCGTCAGTCATGCTGGATGCATGAGTGTTGAATTGTCTATTTCTTCCACGATGCAAACTCCTACCTGGCATAGGCAGTTTGTTTCGATCTGCTTTGTTTAGGTTTAATCATGTGTGTGTCTCCACCTAGCATGGTGTCTGGCGCAGAGCAAAATCTCAGGAAATGTGGGTTGAGTGCTTATATAAGTGAATGAATTAATTACTGAACGCACGAGGTCAGTGAAAATTCTTCCAAGAGTGGCAGCTATAAAATTTGGCAGTTACGCTTACAAGTTGTTCAGAAGCTCATTTCGAAGAGTCCTCTTGCAGAGCAAATCAGCTGGAGACCCCGATGCCACGTGCTGCTCATCGCAAAACAGGCAGATTCGGGGTCTTCTGAGATGTCTTGGCAGATTGACCCTCTTAGAGGAGCTGAGCAGTATTTGTGGAGGAGCGCTGGACTCCCAAATCAAAAGATCTGGATCTGTGTGGCTCTGTCCCTTTGTAGCTGAATGACCTCAGACAATCCAGCCTCTGAGCCTCAGCTCCTCATCAAGAAAATGGGCCTGAGTGACAGAGTGCACGCAGCAAGCTCTGTGTGAGCCTGAAGGGACGGACACCTGATGGAGAGCAGGGTGCTTGCCCCTCGCTGCCGGCAGCATCAGCACCACCCGCCTGCCACCCCCGCCCGCCCGTACCTGTCTAGGGCATCCCTCGGCTCGCCTTGTCCTTCTTGCCCGCAGTAACAGCCGTAGGATTCAAATTCCTCCGGACACCGGGACGTCAGACAAAAGAGCATCTCTCCAAGCTGTGGCATCACCCGCATGTCGTCCCCACTTTCCAGGTACAGGAAGGTGAACCTGTCACAGGCTGATGAGAAACAAGGACTCTCTTCTTTCTCCGTCCTGTCTCTTTCTCTCTGCACCACCCCTTCTCCCTCTCCCTGCCGCCTCTGCCTGCAGCTTGGGCTAAGTCTGGCAAAAGTCCACCGTGCAAACCCCATCGTCACAGGTTCCTGGGGGGAAGAACCTCCGTTCTCCTGCGGGGGGCTTCTGCCCAGCCTCCTGCTCAAGACATGTGCAGGCGCACAGGGTCTGCCCAGGTACAAACACAGTCCTGCGTGTCCCACCGGCGGCGGCTGCTTGCAGGTGTGGGGCCTTTGCTAAGACACCGGAGGGAGGACAGTCAGGGAGGAGGACTGTCAGGACCCAAGTGTCTCATTCTGTCCAACAAACCACGGTGCTGCTGACGCCAAGCTCTCTCCTTCTGGGCCAGTGAGAGCAGCAAAACCCCTCGGTCAGGGGCTCCTTGTCCCGGCCTGGCCTCCAGCAGCTGATGGCTACAGGCAAGTGGTGCCCCCTCTGCACCTCGAAGTGCTCATGCAGCAAGTGGGAAGGCGCTTTCTAGCGGCACCAGGTGAGATGGTCACAGGGCCCTATGGGGGCCTAAGGGGCTTGGCTAATGGCCTAACCAGAGGATCCCACGGCCAGGGGAGGACGCTGCCCTGCCTGCTTCCGCTCACCTCTTCCAGCTGTCTCCCCAGGGCCGCTTTTGACGGAAGACACGGCCAACCCCAAAGATTTACTGCTGGCGGGGACGATGGTTATGGCTTTAGCTGTGGTGACAATCTCTGCAGATCCTGAAAACACACCTCGTTAGGGTCCATACTCGAAAAGTGGTTCAAGAAGAGATTGGCAGGTGGACATGAGGTCAAGACCAAATGCAGACAGATATCCCAGGACAACAGAGCGTCAGCAGGCTGTCCTCACGCGGGATCTGCGGATGTCAGGGCAGAACCTGGGGGATCTGTGAAGGCTACGTGAGAATTTCCAAATATACTGTGATGACGTTAAAATGGACAGGACCCCAAGCTAGACCCCCCGGGTGACATTTCATGGATGGGAACAGTCACAGCCTCTCAGGCCCGTGTTTGTGTCATGTTTCCCATCACGCGCCTGCCAAGTGACGACCCAATGGTGCCCACAAGTGCACAGATAAAAAGAATAGTGGAGAAGTTCAGCCAACTCACAGGACTCAAGAGTGTAGGCAAAGCAAAACTCCTCCTCCAGCCCCTCAGAACATCGCAACAGCTTCTCATCACACTCAGAGTTCAGTGCGAGGTGCTCAGCCGTGCCGTGGCCCTGCCCTGCTCACGCTCTCCCTGGCACTGTCTGGATCTCCCTTTGCTCTCCCACGTCCATCCCACCTGACTTCTCAGCTGGAGGCAAGAGAGTCTCCAGCCCACAGGCCAGTTCTCCAGCCCAGGCTGGTCCAAACCAAGGGAGTATCCATACGCTCTGCCCGCCTCATCTGCTGACCCAGGCTCGGTGCCCAGAGCTCTGGGCAAGGCCTGGGCGACTGGCTTGCGATCTTGCCCCCAACCCACTGTACTGATTTGCTCCATACATCTGGGCTTCTGTCTCTGCTTGTTCAGCGCTCCAGTCCTCATGGGTTAGGGTAGGCCTTTCAGAAGCCCTGCGGTGACCTCGGTCTCTTAGGTTTAGCATCCTGTCTGATTCTCCAGCCCCACAAACAAAGGCCCAGGAGACGGTTACTTTCTGCCACGCCCCTGAGAGCTAGAAACTGACAAAGACCCTCTCCTTGGCCCAGTTTCAGCCAGGCTCCTTGGGGCCTTCTGCTCAGGGAGGCCTCAACCTTGGCCTATGAGAACCACAAGCTCTCGACACTCCCCACCCAGAGAGACTTACACAAACCCTGGCCTGGTTTCTAACACTCAAGAAAGGCCGTGTCCCTGGGATGACCCAGTCTCCCCTGCTCCTCCTTCAGATCCTGCCTGAGAAAGCTCCAAGCAGTCAAGAAAGTTCGCTGCTGAGATCCACACTTGCCTGGCCAGACAGGTTTCTGCAAACAGCCCCCTACCCTCTCTTTGGAGTCTTCCACTCCCTCTGACTCCGCTGGGGCTCCTGCCAGTCCCCCCCAGCCTTTCTCCTCCCTCACTCTCCCTTTAAATGCCCCATCCCCTCTGCACAAATCGGACCGAGCTCCATTTATTCCCTAAGCCCCTCCCCTGCTACGGAAGTCTGAACAAACTCTGTCTCGCCACCTCAAACAGACGTCTGGCTCTGTTTCTCACCAAGTTGGCGTCGTGAGGTGGGAGAACCACGATGTCAGGGGTCAAGAAGTCTGAGTTGGAGGTTTAGCTCCATTACACACACACTAGGTGCATGATCTGAGGCAAATCACACGGCTTCTCCCAATGTAAAATTGTATTAATGACACCCGTTTTGGTGCTTAAGTAATCCTTCTAGTTAAACGCCTAGCAGTGAGGAAACAGTCAATAGTGGCCATTAGAATTGCTCAGTGACTGTGGAACCATCCACGTGGAAATTCCCACAAGTGGATGGAGGTCCCAGAAGCCCAGTGTCTGCTCCCAGTTGGGTCTGAGTCTCCTGCTAAACCCTCCTGGGTAAGAACTTTCTAGATATTTGGTGCAAATCGAATCTGAGGCTCCCACACTCTCCTAAGATGAGTGAATTTTGCGCTAATCACCCTACCTGCACTGGCTGCCCCATTGGGGGAAAAATTCCTCTTGACCCTTCACCTCCTACTCTGAGAAGGTCATAGTGCATCTCAGGGCAAAGCTGGCCCAAGTCGCGATACCCTTAGTCCTATGACATTAACAACCTACCTCCATAAATTTGATTAAGATCTGGAAATTCTTTGCAAAGAATTTCACCCGGGCAAAAAGTCCCAGAGTGAGAGGCCAGCCCAGCTCAGGGACAAAAAAAAATCACTTTCAATTTTCATCAAAGAGAAGAAGGGAAAATAATAAGCTATCACTTTTTTTTCTATTAAAAATAGCTAGAAGCTTTTCATTTGCTTGTTTTTAAATAATAGTACCTAGTACTGGCTACTGAAATGTGCATCTGAGTGTAAATTGATTCAGTTTTCCGCCAGGACAATTTGGCAACATATTGAGAGTCCAAAAATGATCACACCTTTTATCCAGCAATTCAGCTTCTAGACATTTATGCTGACAAATTAATCAGAAGTAGATGGGCATAAAGAAAGTGTGTGTCTATATTTATAATGACACCTGTTAGTAATAACTGGTTAAATAAATTACAGGATTCCAATCGTACAGCCTCTAAAAAAACCATGGTACAGAAAAATATTTAATGTCAAGGGAATATCATCACATTGTACGAAGTGTTACAGCCCAGACTGCAAAACCAGGGCTGTCAAGTGATCTCAGATTCGTTTTATTTATTGCTATGCTCAGCGGGGGAGGGAGGGACTGGAAGAGATCATGTTCATATATTACCACATAAAAATCTTTATAATGTGGAAGTGCAGGTGATTTAAACAGAAAAGTAAATACAGTTTTCTATATTTTTTCTAAATGCATCTCTTTAGCAGGTAAGCTTCCGTATCTTCCTACTAATGGATCTACCTTTTCATTTCATTTGTCTGTTTTTTGGGGGGGAAGTATAAAAGTAAGTTGGTTTCAATGATTTCTTCCACTTTAGGAAACACACTTGATGTTTATAAGCAACAACAATACATACAAAGATGGGTGAAGCTGAGTGCGCTTACCTGGAGGGGGTGGGGCCCTGGCACCTCCCGTGCCTTCCTTGTCTTGGCCTGGTTCTGTCCCCAAAAGAAGAGAGCCGGAGTGAACACCAGCCCCAGTCTGTGCACCTTGGTCTCCAGAGGCGGCTCCCAGCCCACGGGGCACAGGCGGCCACGCGCTTTTTGTCCTATCCCTGGTCACCTCCCAGGAGACCTGGTGAGGGCAGGGTCCCTGCCGAGCCAGAGACACCCCCACCCCCCAGAATCAGGCTTGCTGATGAACACAGCTGCAGCTTATCAGGCTGGAAGCAAGTGAGTCTGTTGAAATGCTTTGCAACGGTAGACTTCTCTAGAATGTGAATGAAAATAAATAAAAATCACGATTTTTTGAGCAGAGGAGAATGAGAAAGCAGAACTGTGGATTCCAACTGCTTGTGGTGTGGCCCCAGGAGGGCTGCTGAGCCCCGGCTTCTCTGTGAAACGAGTCTGTTGCCGTTTAACAGTTATTAAGCTCCTACTATGCGGTAGGTGGAATGTGTGTTCCCCCCACCAGACTCACATGTTGAAATCCAACCCCCAATATGATGGCATTTGGAGGCAGGCCTTTGGGAGGTGATTAGGTCATGAGGGTGGGTCTCTTATGAGGGGATTAGGTCCCTTATAAAAGGAAAAGAGAACCCTCATCCATTCCGCTGTGTGAGGACACAGTGTGGGGACAGCCGTCTATGCACCAGGAAGTGGACCTTTACCAGAACTTGACCGTGCAGGCATCTTGATCTTGAGTTTCCAGAGTCCAGATCCACGAGAAATAAATTCCTGCTGTTTCTCAGCAGCCCAGTCTGCAGCGCTTCGGTGTAGCAGCCCGAACGCACTAAGACTTACCACACTCCAGAGGCAGCGCCAAGCGCTTCAGCTTCGCTAACTCAGCAACAGCCCCGCGAGTTCGTACCAGGCTCACCCGCATTCACAGAGGAGAAGGGGGACACACTGGTCAAGGTCACAGAGCCAGGAAGGGGTGAAATGCAAACCGGACCTCCCGGCAGCGTGGCTCCCCTTAACCACCACGCGGGGCTCCCGTTTCCCTCCTGGAGGTACCACACAGAGCTAGAGGCGGTAACTCCAAAATGCTTTGGGAGGGAAGGAACAGCCTTCAATTCAGTGTGTCAAAGACCAAGTTTGTGATGATGCGATGTGAAAATCAGGTTTTGGAATGTACTGATGTGGACACGAATGCTCCAGCAAAGGAGAAAATCTCAACAGTTCTAAGCTGGGGCAGGTGGTTCTCATCCAAGGCGAGATGCAGAACTAAAGGCACACTAAGCTGTGCTCCTTGGGCAAATGGCGCCACCTCTCAGAGCTCATTTACCTTTAAAATGTGGCAAATAATGGGCCCCTAGGACCAGGGCGGGTTAACTCAGAGAGGCCTAGGAACACATTGGCACACTGGAGGTCCTCAATGTGTCCCTGCCTTAATGTTAACTAAGGAATCCGTTTGTTGACTTAGTCATTCTTAGTAACTAGTAAATAGTTATTATCAGTAATGTATACTTACTAATAAAGGATCCATGGTTATTAATTACCATAAATAAAGTAAATAGGTTAATTCTTCTGATGACATATTGGAAAGAAAACAAGGCTTACAGCTTGAAGACTGGGATTAGAAACCAGTCCACAAGTCACTGCTGAATGACTTAGAGCTTTTAACCTCAGTTTCCTATATAATCTGCAAAATGGGTATATATTTCCTCCAGGTCCTGTCAAAAAGCGGTCACCAGAACCAGACACAAACATTTAGATGGCATTTCTCCACTAAGTCCCATGCTGTCCTCCCCTGAAGTCCCTTCTGCTTACTTGTCCTGGAGAGAGTGGTCAGTCGGTCAGCGCTGGTCTCAGCAGCCACTGTGAAAAGAAACAGCCCAATCTCGATTACCATCCCAGCTCAGCCCCTTAACCAGAGGAGGGAAGGCCTGTGGCGATCTGATCGGGGACTATGTCTGAACGTTATTGCTCCGTTAGATCCCAAGTTCAGTGAATGAGAGGCCTGATTACGGCCAGTCCCGTGGGTAGGCAGAGACCAGCAAATGACCTCTGTGGGAGAAAGGGCCATTATTCCCCCTGGTTGGAAAGACTTTGCTGGGGAAGGCAGCTTAAGAGGGAGTTTAATCTAGAAGTAAGGATGGAAGCAGAGGAGGTCTCGAACCTCAGCCCTACCACCCAGCTCTGGGCTTGGACGACTTCTCCCTCCACCTCAATTTGCCATCTTAATGTGGAGATGATAGCAATTATTTCATAGGGTTGTATGATCATTAAATGAGATTATGTATTTTAGGCAAGTTGTCCCATATCCTGCATGTGATTTGATGGTGTGTGCAGTTTTTTATAGCCACACGAGAATTTCTAGAAGACACTGGCCCAGAATCTTCCCATGCTCTGTCTCATCTAACTCTTCTGTCACCTTAAAGGGCAGGTATAATCATCCCCTTCCAGGGGTTTGTAAACTACAGCCCGGCCCTCTGCCCATTTTTGTCAATAAAGTTTTATTGGCACCACAGCCACACCCATTCAGTTATGGATCTTCTAGGGCTGCTTTCCTACTATGATGCAGAGTTGAGTGGTTGCAACAGAGATCTTCTTGTCCAAAAAGTCTAGAATATTTACTATCTGGCCCTTAACAGGAAAAAAAAAAAAAAGACGATACCTGCTTAATACAAAGGGGAAATTGAAGCTTAGAGAGCTTAAACCCTGCTTCTCAATCACACAGCTGAAAAATGGGAGAGCCGGGAACCCATCCCAAACTTGCCTGACTCCAAGACATCATTTCATCCCATGACGGTGAGAGCAATTACAAGCCCCACGTCTTTTCCTCACAGTGTCCCACCTGCACTTGTGTGATGGACTTTTGAGCCCCGCATTCAGGCTGCCTCCTCCTCTGAGGGCATTTTTGGGTTCTGCCTAGATCATGGGTGTGAGTGCATGTGTGTTAGGAGTGAAGGTTTGAGTGTATCCATTCTCCTCCTCCAGTTAGATTCTAGATTCCTTGAGGAATCTTATTTCCTGGGTCTTTCCCAGGCTCATGTCACAAGGCATGGTTCAGCCTGAAGAAAGTAGAAAATGTACGAATTTGGGGTTATCTGTGAGGCCATGAAGCCTGTATCACGTCCTCCATTTAGAATGGAAGTGGCCGCTGCCAATCACACTGGGATGACTGCTCCCTGGGGGCAGGGCAAGTGCTGAAGCTCTGGTTCCGTATAGGTTTCATTTCATTTTTTCTCTGGACCTGGCCTCCAAGGCACAGGCTGTCTGGGAGCTGTTAGGGAAGACATGCCCAAGAGGAGAGCAATAAACAAACTCCTATAACCTTTTAGCGTAAGTATGTCCCCTGCAAACTCTGGGACATACTTATACTAAGAGGGTATTTGCTGTGCATCTGAAATTCAACATCAGTGGTCGAGGGTGGGGGTCCTGCATTTTATCTGACGATTCTCCCAAGGTGGGAATAGGAGTTTGGGAGAAAGCTGAGTAAGCAGAGAAGAGATGTGGGGGTCGGGAGGAAGTGGGAGGGGCTCTGGAAGGCACCTGAGGCAGTTCCACCACAAACGCCGGCCAGGGGCATCCTGGGGGACCTAATTCCAGCAAGTAGGCAGATCGCACAAACAAAACACAGGTATTTGGGTTACACACCGGTCCCCCTGTGCTCACCTTCTCCCGAGAGGGCCATCAGGCTGGCGTCGGTGGGCTCCACAGAAACCACTGGAAAAAGAGACCCCCCACCAACAGCAATGACTGATGGACCCTGTGTCAACACCAAGTGCCAAGGGTCTCCAAGGACAAGCTGGACCACTGGACAAGGGAGGAGGGGGCTGTAAAAGGCTGCCTGTCCTGCCTCAGGACACGCCTCCCAGGACACAGGTGTGCCCAGCAGGGCCCCAGCTCAGGAGGGGCTCCAGCCAGTGCTGGGTTCTGCTGGGGAAGGTGACACCATCGGACACAGGCTGTGGCAATGAAAGGGCTGCAAACTCTGAAAGTCTGTGGCTCTGGAGTGTGTGGCTTCCTGACCTGAGAAGACCTCTATTCAAATAGGAGGCAGATGGCAGAGGAAGAAGGGTGCTGGACTCAGAATGTACACAGAGATGCAACACGGACACTCCCCATACACACACAAACCTACACACACCTGCACACAACCACACGCACAGGCACACCTACCTCCACACACAGCCACATCAGCTTCCTCTCTAACAAACACAGCAGGACTAGTTCTGAGAAAGAGACCCTGGCCCCAGGAAAGGAAGGATGTCTGTCAAAGTGGACCCCAAACACCCCATCCCCAGGTACCCATGGTGTTGGGACTGAGAGATTGTGGGAACTTCGTGAACAAAGAATGATGGGCATAAACCTAATTCACTTTTTGCGTAAGATGCATGTTTTAGAGTCAGAATCATTCCTTGCTCAGTTCAATAGACAGTCATTTAAGAGCCCACTGTGTCTTGAAAAGTGGCAAAGCCTCCCCTTCAAGGAGCCTCTGCCAGGTCCAGGCTGCTCCCTGTGCTGCAGGCTCTGGAGGGCAGAGGAGGGAGGCAGTTAATCTGTTTCGGGGAGGCCTCAGCGGCCAGGAGCTCACCTAGCCGGGAGGGACCATGCCTCTCTGAGCCCTGGACCCTGTCCTGGTCACACTGCATGCCAGGGCTCCGACTATCAACCAAGAGAAAAAACTTGGGGGTTGTCATCTTAACTGAATTCTATTCACACCTGTCTATGCAGCAAGGGCCATTTGATGTTGGATGTGCATTGGGTTATCAGAAGTGACAGTCTGTCTGGTCAGGGACAGGTGGACACATCTTCTGTGCCAAGGGTCACTCCAGCTCCGGTGAGGCCGACTGGGGGGAGGAGGTGTATCCCCCGCTCACGTCGGTGGTCAGGGCCTTCCGGCCAAGGAAGAGCAACTTCCCGGGAAGGTCTTACCTCGGGGCAGAAGCGTCAGCCGCTCTTTCCTGCTGGTTGTCTCTGAAAAGAAAACACATTAGAGAAGTGGGTTTGGGGCACGTTAGAAGGTGCTGGACTTGGCATCTGAAGGAATGCAGCAAGTCTGGTCCCAGGCCAGCTCCTGCCCCAGATCATCAACCCCATTTCTGCTGCAGGGCCAGGATCTTCCTACCTGGAGGCTGAGCCAGACAAAAGGAAGTGTCCAGAAGATTCAGGGAAGAGTTGATACTGGACTGAGCCAAACACTCGATGGCAGCCTTGTCACAGGTACACAGCATGTGCTCACAAGCATCCTTGAACTCTGTACACAGAGCAAGGGCAGAGCAGATGAGAAGAGCTCACTGGGAATCCCAAGAGGTGATGCAGACTCTAAAATTGACCCCTGATCTGCCCCTGCAAAGGCCTGTTTCTCTTGTGGTCCTCTTCATCTCTTCCATGCCGATTTCATTTCATCCATGAAGCTCCACCCCTTCAGTTGTGCGAGCCCCGCCTGGGAGCCTTAGGCACTCCTTTCCTCTCACACTCACACCAGATCCATCAGGTCATCCTACTGGCTCTACTTTCAGCCTATTTGAGTCTGACCACGTCTTCCCATCTCCACCCACTCCCCATCATCAGCCGCCTGGGTTACATCAATGGCTTAACTAGTCCTCCTGCCTCCCTGCCTGGTGCTCAGTTTATTCTTGTGTAAGGATCCGAACAACCCAGTTTAAAACTTGGATCAAACCATGTCTTGTTTACATTTTTTAAATGTAACATTGTTTTACATTTAAGCATTGCTTAATTTTCACAACAAATCTCTGAAGCAGCTTTTCTCCTCCCCATGTGAGGTAGGAGTTGGTAATTCATTGCCCTTAAATCACGCAATAGTAGCAAACCAATTGCCCTTCCCAGGCTCCCAGAGTTGCGACAAGCATAAAATTGTAAATCAGATGACCTGCTCATCAACTCTTGTTTCAATTCAAAAAGCATTTGTTGCACCTTGACTCCATGCAAGGTTCAGATGCCTTCAATCCAGCCTGCGTAGGGCTCTAAGGATACCCAGTGATGTTACCAATGGCGATGAAGAGGAGGGTGGACCCTGGGAGCCTGGGCCTGGGGTCTCTGAGCTGTCACTGCTCAGCCCAGCCTCCTGGGCACCTGGAGATGCTCACCACACGTGATACTCTTGCTGACACAGTTGACATCTGTGCTGAGCTTGGCAGGGTCCTGGAGACAGTCCATCTCAGTAGCCTCCTCGTAGCACCTGCGATGCTGGAAGCAGCAGCTGTGGCAGGACAGGGAGGGGTCAGGGTGCAAGCGTGGGTTGGGGTTAGAAGAGAGGCAGAGAGTGCACGATCATTCTGTGTCTCTGGGTGGTTTCTGGTGGTTTCTGGTCTGTTTCAAACACTTAGTGCCAATGCACACAAATATATGATGTTTGAATTTGAATTATGTCACCTATGCAGCAGGTGTTATTGTTATTTTGAGCATTTACATGTATGAAACCTGAGACACAAAGAGCTCTGTAACTTGCCAAGGTCAAGGTTGGTCACAGAGAGAGGCTGACACTAAACAAGAGAGTCAGGTGGCTCTTGCAGTCGTATAAGAGATCAATGGAGACCAGAGTAAAGGAGAAACAACATCCGGGCAGCTGACGGCCTTGGGCAAGCTACTAAGTTTCTCACGCCACCTAACTCATAAGAATTTGGGGGAGTCAAGAGAATGTCCATAGAGACCCTGCCATGTGGTTGGCACTCAATGATTACAGTTATTCTGGGGATCTGGCGTGCAAGTTCAAGGTGGAAATAACCTGTCCTCCAAGAGTCTGGAAATGCCCACCCCCAGCAACTGAACCGTGTGAAGTAACTGAAACCGGGCGTGGCCCACCATTCTGCCAATTTGCCCATCGATGCTCTGATCCTTCAGACAGTGGTGAATTACTGCTTTGACATCTAGGTCTACAAGGTGTTTTAATAACTAAAAGAAGTGGTAAGGGAAGACCTGAAAGGAAAACACGTTCCCAGAATTGGCCCTGGCGCCCCACCCAGGTGGACTCAGCCTTTCCCCTTCTGAGTGTCAGCGGCTGCCCCCAGGAGTCAGTTTGCTCATGGTCCCAGGGACGGCAAACTGTCCTCTTGGTCCAGAAACAACTTACCATGGGCTGTCCAGTGTGTTACAAAGGGGAGTCCTTCCCTATCTCCTGTGAGTCTCAGTCAACGAAAGCACACGCTCCATCACCCTGGATTTGGGCACGAGTGTAATAATGGTGAGGTGTGGACGTGGTCCCAGAGCAGAGGTGTGGGGTGGGTTCAGTCTCCTGCTTCCACACTGCTGCGGCTGTGCTGCGTCTGCAGTCACTGCTGTCACTGCTTCCACCACGACTACTCACCCCCACTGCAGTTTCATTAGCGCTGCTTCTGGCTGCGATGACTGCTATCGTTACAAGTAACGCCGCTGCAGTTACTATGACAACCACTATTGTTACCATTGATGCCACTGTGGCTACTAGGACACCTGTTACTCTGCTGTTGTTACCGGCGCTACTACTCTGACGGCTGCCAGCCCAGCTGTGACTGCTACCACTCTCACGACCGCCACCACTGCTCCTGCAGCCCTGCCAGTATCGCTACTGTCACTACCCGTTGCCGAGACTCTCGAGGACTGTCGTCACCAACTGCTGACACGGTTAAGCCGGGCCGAATCCCAGTCACTTTCACTTGTATTTGGTCGCGTGACCCTAAACAGCGACTCTGTGGGGTAGGTGCTGTTATTACCTCCCCTGAGCAGGTGAAGAAGCTGGAACACAAAGAGGCTAAACAACTTGCCTAAGGTCACAGAGCCCCTCAGGGACAGAGCAGTGGAATTACTGGCTCATAGGTGGTATGCCCTAAAGCTCTAACAGATCCCACCCAATGGTCCCCATTGACCCGCCTGCTACCAGGAGCTGTGTGCCACATCCTTGCTAACCCCGGGTGCTTCTAAGATTCTAAACTGCATTGCGCACACCCCAGGACTCCCAACACGAGAGCAGTCCAGGGAGCTTCCTGCATCTGTGCTCTGCCCGCGGCTCAGCCAGGCCTCCAGGAGCACCCCCATTCCACCCCCAAAGGAGCCCTCCTCGTCGGTCTCGCTCACCTGTCAGGTTCATCCACAGGCAGCCCTTCCATCTCAAACCTGCAGGCACAGCCGTAGTCTTCGAAGTCCCGGGGGCAGAGCCCAGCCACACACTTCATGCCGTTCACGAACTGGAGCAGCGCAGGGAAGTTGGTGTAGACAGCCTGCAGCCAGGTGAAGTGGGGGCCCAGGCAGTCTGGGGGAGGAGGAGCCAGAGTAGAGGGGGAGCTCGCATTCCAGGGACTTGCACACCCTGGGGGGACGGTACCTCATCAGCCTGCCGAGCACCTGCTGTGCACTCAGGCCTGTCCTAGGCACCTGAAGGGAGGCAGCTTTACAAGCTGTGGCCTCTGCTGCTTCCCACCTAATAGCCATTCATCCCTCTTCCTAACAGACAATGCTGAAAAGTACTTAAAGAAGGTTAGCCACTTCCCCAAGTCCCTGGGCATGTTTCATGACCATTCTCAGCTCATCATGCTTCCATGACAGCGATGAGTCTAGGGTTGAGCGTGAGACCCAGATGTGGCCAAAAGAACTTCAGGGGGAGTCTGTTAAGGGCTTTGGGGAAATATTTCCTTCCTAATAAAGCATAAAGGCATGTAAGAGGAACTTTTTGACTACACCTTTCTCCTTCCTTGAATGTGGTGAGGATTTGCTGGCTGGAACTGCAGCAACCACCTTGCAGCCATGAGGCCCCAAATCTAAAGCTGAAAAACAGTATGCCTAGGGTAGCAGTGGGGCAAGACTGCAGGTGTGCTGGGTCTCTGATACTGGTGTTGAGCTACTGCACCAATCCTTGTGACTTCAGATGGCTTCTGTGAGGTAATTACATGTCTTTATTATTGAAGTTACTATTAGTGTGCTGAATGGATCTCAAATGATAAGTTCCTGGTAATAAAGGACTATAAATCAGTGCAGGAAGAGGAGGGGTATAGACACTAATCATCTGGGGGCACCTGCTATGTGCCAGAAACTGTGTTAATTGCTTTAAATTGCACAAGAGATAAAACTGATAGGGTGAGTAGTGCTTTAGAAAGCTTTCACTTGGTCTGTGACCCCACAGACCCCTTGTTAATCCTGCAAGGCAGATGCTGTTCTGCCCCCTCCACTTCCCAGGTAGGGAAACTGAAGGTCAGAGAACGCACGAGGTATCCGCCAGTGATGACGACTGACCCTAACCCAAAATGCTCTTGCAAACAAAATTGGCAAGAAAACAGTATCCAGCTTTTTGACTCTTAATCTCAGGTTCACCCTCTCCACTCTCTGCCTTTGTGACTGCAGGACCGTGAAGTGCTTACTGGGGCCATCCCACAGCAGTGGTTGAAATGCACAGGGTCACAGGAGGGAGCCTGGGGAGAGCAAAAGTTGTTTGCGAGGACCACGTCCACCCCGACTGCTCTAGGTTCTTCCTATCTCATTCAGGCTTCCTTTCCCTGTTTTGTTTCCATGCAGCCTCATCATAAATATGAATAAATGATGGAAAAAGCTACTATAAGATGTGTGTGTTTATATGTAAACACGCATTTTCATTCAGAAACTTACAAGGCACCTGCACTTAGTCACGTGTACATTGTAGGCGCAGTTTCAAAGCCAGCACTTTCTGAGCCCACAGCAGTTCAGAGTCATCTTGCTCCCGTCCGTCATATTATGATCTTATTTGGGGCATTTTTAGCCATCAATGGCAGGAATCATCACAGTGCCATGAAATTGACAGTCGCATCCCAGATCCACGACTGATAAATGGAATGCTTCTTAAGCTTTACGTATATTTTCTGGTCAAGAAGGAAAAACAAAACTACCTTGGTGTAGGGGGACTCAGCTCTGGACAGAGGAGGCCTTGTCCCTTCTCGTTGTTTGCTTTGGACAAGTCCCTGAACTCCCAGAGGCTCAGTTTCCTCACCTATAAAATGGGGATGCTGTTCCTCTCCTGGCCAGTTTGTGGTCAGGACAAATGAAGTCAGGACTACGAAGGCGCTTGGCAACTCAGTGACTCTCCTTGCGATAAAGGGCACCACTACTCTTGCTGGAACCTGGATCACATGGTTGGGAGCTTGCTGGGGAGGCCGTGGGAACCAAGAGGGCAGAGCCCAAGGTCCTAGTCATTTCCTTAGATTTTCCACACACGTCCCATGCCCTGACACCCAACGGATAAAAGCAAGTTCAGGTGTAACTTACCAAAAAGTTCGGCCACACCATCCACATTTTTAAACGCCCCACTGAATAAAGTCATATCTACGTGGAAGGAAGGGAAAACAAATGAGAAAGACTTGGGGTCTCCCCTTCCCCTTCCCTGTTCACTCCCAGGGGAAGAACGAATGAAAATGCTTCTTTAACACAATATATCTGACCTTGAGCTAACTTTTTAGTAACACAGATTACCATGGAAACCTGATAAGATAAACCGTGAACTGTGTTGCCAGACAACAATGCTCAGGGGTGAAAAAGAAAGACCCCTGGATGGTAAGATGTATTTGGACCGGCAGGAACTGTGGGTGAACTGCAAACACTTGTTAGGTGGAGGGGTGGCCACGTTCTGGGTCTCCATCAGAGTCATGACTCTTGCAGTTGGACGCATCCCTCTGGGCATCTTAGAAACTATACCTATGAAGTGGTCACTAGAGATACTGACTCCTATGGTGAGTGAAGCGTCTAGGTCTGGGTGGGTCCTGGGGCTGCTCCCCGTGGGCCCCGTTCCCCTGGCCCCTGCTGTTAGCTGGGGGCTCCTGGACTGCTGTGAAGACTGCTTCCGTGCTGTTCTCGCTACAGAGGGATGGCTGGCACGACCTGCTGGCGCACTGTTTCCTGGCCATGGTCCTTCTAAAAGCCTGTGTTGAAACATCTACACGAAGCGGACCTCCTAGTGGGCACTGTACTGCCCGTGGGGGCTATGCCATTTGGAGAGAGGCCACTTATCATCTGTGTCTGGCTGGGACTGATCACTGAGCTTGCATGGGCTCCTGCACAGAAAACTTGGATGACTCAGCTCACCTCTCAGCAACGAACCCTGAATTCAGAGTTAATCTCACCCGTCAGCTCACCGTGCATTGGATTCTTCAGCGATCCCTGTGTAAGAACCCGCCTGAGGAACCTTTACAGTCCATCACCAGGGAAACCCTCCCTTCTCCAAGGAGCAGTTACGGCTCCCCCTTGCTCTTCGCTAGAGCACGAAGCTGTCATCTTTCTCTTTCTGTCCTGCCTTTGAAGCCGTTCACCACGCAGCCCTCACTGACTGCCCATTTCCTTCTCCTGGTTTCCTCTTTCAGCTGGCCTCTGGCCTTTGATGAGAGTTTTTAGTACTTTGTCTCCAAGGTGAGACCAATGATGGGTCAGGCACCAGGGCAGACTGCGAGGGAAAGGCTTCTGAGTCTACAAAGGCCAGCGCAGTCAGTGACTCTAGGGGACACTCAGAAGGGGTCGATCTCTCTGCCGATACCCTAGGCGACTCTCTCCCCAGCTAGGTCTCCTAAGCAAGCATCAAAGAATCCTTACTGATATTTTCTGAGAGTCCTGGAGGCAGCTCCTGTGGAAGGTGCGGGGTGTCCAGAGGGTGGCCCCCTGTAATTGAGGAGGAGAGCAGGGTTAAGACAAACACTGCCCCTGCCCAAGGGCTGGGCTCGGGCTGGGAGGCGGCAGCCGGGAGAGCAATGAGGATGCCCGTAAATCCAGATCTACGCACATTGGTCTAGTACCTGCTACGTGCCAGATCTCTGCGGTCAGCTCTCGGAGAAAATAGAGGTGAGGCCAGGGCGGCCCGGTGTTTTATACTCGTTGGCCTTGAGGGAGTGGCCTTCTGGCTGGAGTTGGGCATGTAAGCCTCCTTGGTCAAGGTAAATGATCACTAGTGCCTCCCACTCACTATTGTGCATGAGAACCAGAGAGAGAGGAGGGTCGGTGGGTTGGTCCAGAGTTTACATCAATATGCGAAAAGATGGAGAAAAATGCTGGGATAAATGAGTGATCACAATTAGGAAGGAAGGAGGTGAGTTGGGGTGTTCAAGAACTGCATGAATATGCAGACAAGAATGACCCAGGAGGGAGCCTGAGAGTCGTAGCCAGGACGTCCGGTGGACCTGAAGTGGTTACCCTGGCCGCCAAGGAGCTCGCTCAGGTGGCTGGAGGGTTTGGCGGCAGGGGACCCAACTTTAGAATATGAGGGTAGAATGTTTGCTCTTTACAACGGATATACCTCCAAAAGGGGAAAGGGAGTCGTTGCGTGTCAAGATGGCCAACACACTCCAAGGGACTCAGCAAAGCAAGGGACAGCGGGCAGAGGAGACGGGCTGTTGGGTGCAGAGAGCCTTGCTAACAAGCCCCCTTGCCTTTCGCTCTCCCTAGGGCTGCACTCATCCCCTATCCCACACGTCCACGCACCGTACAGCACGCTCAGAAAACTGTCAGCTGGATTAACCCTAGAGCTTAGCATTATGTTTGATTTCCATCGCTCATTAGGCAAGGGGATAAAATGAGCAAATCAGATGGCGTTTGACAAGACGTCCGAGTGTTGATAGGGTGTCATTATATACGAAGCCAGAAATCCAGCAAAGTGCCGTTACTCACCGACACGCGAGGCCACCAGCACTCCTAGGAGAAGCACAATCATGGCAGCAGAGCAAAGGGTGGGGCCCTGGCATCGACTGGAACGGCCTCCAGGGAGAGAAGTCAGCGGTCTGTGACGAGTCTGCCTTCAGAAACCATGACATTAGACCCCACAGGAGCTGCTTTTCCATAAGGCAGGGTGGACAAAGGAGAAAGTCCCCACAGTGTTTGTCCCCACTTTGCCACCAGCTTTACCAGCAGTACGACATCCAGAAGATCACGTGCCCTCTGGGAGACTCAGTTTATCCACCTGTGAAATGGAAACCTCACCATGCACTCCTTGAGGACGTGGTTCTGGTCTCATTTATTTATTCAGCAAATCAGTGGTCATTTATTGTGTGTCAGGCACCACGGGAAGGAGCCAGGAAGGCAGAGTGAGGAAAACACAGCTGACCCGCCAGCGACTCACAGGCTAACGGGGGAGGGGAGCAGCTTAACAGGTGCCTCAGTATGACTTTTGCAAACTGAATTTGGAGTGACCTGTGCCCATGGGTTCTGATCCAAGCATCCAGAGCAGCCTTGTTGAGCAGGCTGGCTCTGAGCCCTCCTACCAACATCACACGAATAAATCTGGTCATCGCGCCATGGCACGGCCTGCTAGCAAACACTGCTTTTCCTGTAGAGCTCCATCTTTCTTCCTTTCCTTGACTTTTGAGCAATTTATATACTTCGTGGCAGGCCTGGAGGTTCCAGTGACATGATCAGGGACGGCCTGGGGGAAAGGCGGTGGTGGGCAGGGTCGGGATCCTGCCACATTTCAGTGGTAGCTGCCCCATAATCTGAGCAGTAAATACTGAACTTCAATAACCACTTACTGTCTATTGATTCAAGCAGATAAACCATGGATTTATTTATTTACTTATTTTTTAACCTTGGATTTAATAAGGAAGGAAAAATTTAAAGACAGAAGGAATTTAGAATAGTTTTAGACACTTGGGAATATAACTCCTCAAAGAATGTGAAATAAATGGATGTCTTATACATACATATTCTGTTTTAGAAATGTTTTTAGAACAAAATTTGAATGATAATACAGTGTGATCATACCTCAGGGCATACACAGGGCTGCTGAATACAGTTGTAAGTGTTGTGCACTGTGCAAAGAGGGCAAGTAGGGGCTGAAATGCAGCCAGTGCTCAGCTCTCAAGCTTGCCCTCTGCAGGGCTGGATCGACCTGGAGGATGGGGCACTTTCTCCAATTTGTTCTCCCAGAGACAAAGGCTGTCCCGTGTCCTGGTGGCCCAGCATAGGTACCCAGAGCTGTGGTGGGCTGCTCTGCAGGTGTGCGGGGCTTGGCATTGGGGAAGGTGTCCCAGGGGAGAAGACACCTGTACGCTGTAGGATCTCTACTCTGTGAACTTGCCCCAGGGCTCAGCATGGCCTTTGGAGGCTGTAAGATAAATGTTTGTTGAATGAATAAAAGAGCAGAAGATGTGAGTTCTTTGAGATTTACACTCAGCTCAAGCCTTCTCTGATAGTCTGCTTGGTATCCGACAGACATAATGTTCCCTTGTAACCTTTTTTAGCCACGTACATTCTCACAGTAGATTAACTTTCCAGGTTAAACGGGCTCTCTGGTTGGACAAGCTCTCCCACTGGAAAGTGGCATGCCCTGGAAACTCCGTGAGTGGGGGGCAAAACTGAAGGTACTTCAGGGGACCCTTTTGAAGTCACACCTGGAACTGAGGCCCATGTCACTACCTGGCACTTACTAGTCAGATTTTTTTTTCTTTTTTGATGATGAAACTTAAAAAAAATTTTATACAATTTTTAAACATTACACTCCATTTACAGTTATTACAAAATATTGCCTCTATTCCCCATCCTTGAAGCTATCTTACACCCAATACGGTTACCATCACACGACGCGAGGATGCCAGAATGTCGGAGCTCAGAAGAGGCAGTGGGATCATCTAGTCCAAACTCCCATTTTACAGGTGAGTTCACTGAGGCCCAGAGACTGACAATTTATGAGAAATTCACCCCACTTCCCAAATCCAGTGCCCTTTGTATTAACAATCCAACTTACGAGGTTGTTTTGGGGACTGAGAGAGTTAATCCACGCAGGGCACTCACAAGTGCCTGATGGAGAGAATTGGCTCAAAATCATCAGTAGTTACAGCCACGGCGTCCAGCATGCAGTACAGGCTGGACAGAGTAGCAATTACAGTGGAGGCTCCAACTCCCTGTTTGCACGGAAGCCCGCGTTCGGTGAATGAAGGAGGGGGTCGGATTAGTGCTGTGGAGTTGTCCTTTTTCTCCTGCGACACTCACTTCAGGGAGCTGGTCCCCTGGTTCGACCTGACTCTCAGAGTAGACAGGCTGAGGGTGATGTTTATTGGAATTGCAAATATGTTTATTGGATTTTCCAGCATCTATTTTTATTAGAATGCAAATGAACAAAAATGACCTTATTACAGACATAAACTTGACTCAGCTCTAACATTTTTTTTAAAGCAGGTTATAAGGAGGAGGGAAGAGGGAGTTAGTGTTTAAGGGACAGAGTTTCAGTTGGGGAAAATGAAAAATTTTTGGAGATGGATGGGGGTGAGTTTAGCACAGCAATGGGGATGTACATAAGGCTACTGACTGGCACACGTAAAAACGGTTAAAATGGTAAATTTTATGTTTTGTGTATTTTACCACAACTTAGAAGTAAGTTACAAACTTCAGGACTTCTTTCCTTTAGATACGACCTTTCATTTATTCGGGCCTTCCTAGTGTCGAGTGTGCCACCAGGCATCCCTGGATATTGGCTAGGAAGGACACTCTAGAACTTTCTCGGTGGGGTACTGAGGCTCAGAGAGGTCCAGTAACTTGCCAAGGCCGCCTTCACCGAGAGGGACCACTGCAGGGGCACAAGGCAACGCCAGGATTCAAACTGACTTCGGCCAGTCTGACTCAGTCTTTGCTGCAGGTGTGTTACTGCCGTGCTGATCTCTAAACCCCACATAAGCAGCCTAGGAATTTTATTCGCTGTATAACTGTCAAGAATTTTGGTTACACTTGCTTGGGATGGCCCTCAGGGAGGCCAGCCGCTCGCTGGGGTGTGGTGTGAACTCCAGTTGACAGTCCCCAGCTGGGAGCCGAGAAAAGGGAAATCAGGGGACCCCAGAGGAGGCAGCACGTGCTCAGCGCTGTGCCCTGAACTGGGGGGACACATAGCCTAGGACCTGGGGGTGGGACGGCTCAGGGGCTCTGCCCAAATCCAGCAACCTTATCAAGGCCAAGTCAAGTGCCCTTGGGGGTGGGGGTGGGGGTGGGGGCTGTGTCCACCTGGAGGAAGAATTGCCTTTTCCTAATTTGCCCGAGGAAGCCTCCGGGCCTGTCAGTGACCAGGGCAGTGCTGTCTTGTGGGACTGGGGGTTCTCTGGCCTCATCTTGGTCTGCATTTACTGGAGTCCTGGCTCACTCCGCCGCGACTGGGATGCGTCTAAGAGCAAGGCTTGTCTAGCTGGACAGACCCAGGGTGGGGTCGGGGGTAGGGGCTTGGGCTCTGCCTTCCGTTTGATGAGTGCCCTGAGCCAGACAATGACGCTGCCTGGAACGCATTTTCCCGGGCAGTCAAATGCCCATTTACCCTCCGCAGGGCGTCGTGAGGATTAAGTGGAGTAATCCTTGTCAAGGTGGGGCAGGCCCGCCCATACCAGGTCTCAGCAAGGCCAGCCCGCAGTTAACGGTGGTTGGATTTCCACACCGGGTGCCCCAGGGCGAGACGCTGGCACACGCGGGTTGGGAGGACCCTCGCGGCTGTGCTGTGGTGGATCTCTCCCCCGGGTACACTCCCCAGGTTCCGTCCTCTGGCATCGCTTCTCCTCGCACAGAGCTCAGGGTGCCTTTGAATTTCTAGCTACATGTTGGAGCAGCACCCAGGTCGCAGGCTCCCTTTGCGAGCATCCCTCCCTTCCTCTCTTCCTCCATCCTTGTCCCCCTCCCTCCTTCCCCCTCCAAAACCCCCTCCCTCCCGCTTTGGCTTCCCACCCCATCAGGAGAAGGGGATGCCTACCGTGCGGTCTCACACGAAAGCCGTTGGATGAACAATGCTTGACTTTGGACAAGATGGGGACTGAGTCCTTTATACCCCAGGGAAAGCCCCTTAGTCGTGTGACCCCTCCCTCCCCCCATCAGGAGGACAGCCTTTCAGGTATGTTGGCAAGTGGTCTGCCTCTAAGGGGGCGGAGGCAGCATGCTATAGCTTGGAGCAGGGGAAGTTTCCATATTAAGAGGCCCAACCTGAGCCTCAGAGGGGCCTCAGGCTCTAATCAGAGAACAATGGCTCCCCTGTTCCACACCCGGCACCTCACCCCCTCGCCCACAGGCTGGGAGGCCCAGCGATTCCGCGCAGGGTCATCCGGGGAGCGCCGATGAAACTCACACGGGCGCGCTGGAGGGAAGGGGCCGGCTTTGTCTGGCCCAGTTAACTCTCCAGCAAAAGGATCTCCGGGGTGATTCTTCTTACTTGTGCCTGGCCTCAGGCCTGGGAAATTGATGCCTCCTTCCTTCAGGGCTTTTCTGCCCGGGCTGCGGGGCAGGGTGAGGTGGGTTTTGTGACTGAACAGCCTCGGTTCCCGTGCCAGCCCTGCTTACGCCTTAGCAGGACACAGAGTTTGTCACTGCTCAGCCATGTCTCTTCATCCTTTACATGGGGGTCATCCCCGAGGACTGTGAGAAAGAGGTGGGGCAGGTCAAATGCGTGAAGGGCAGGGGGCTCATTAAATCCCGGTTCTTCCTCGTTCCTTCATAGCCCCCTTAGGAATTGCTTCCTTTCCAGATTTAACAAGGAGAGAGATCCTTTATTGAGTGCCTATTACATACCACACATGTTTTTACAGGATTTTTACCTTATCATGCCAGCAGTGGTGGGATGGAGGATAGCTCCATTTTACAGATGAGACAAACAGTGGTCATCGAGGTTGGAGGTGTTTGTCCATGCTCACAGGTGATGGGACATCCTTGACTTACAGGTGAGCCCCGCTGTGAGCCCTGGGAGCTGTTCCTTCCACCTCTGCCTCCTGGGGAACCAGGGCTCATCTAAAGATCAAATCTAGGGAGAACTGAGCCTTTCCAGAATTCACTGAAGGGCTTCTTCAAAGAATTAGTTGTCCTTGAGCATGGAAACTTTTGTTTATAGATCATGAATTATTGCTCAGTGTCTTACATGCACAGAGGAAGTAGTGTCCATCCTTTCTCACTAGCACAGAAGAAGCACCATCTCTAAATCAGTTAAGTCACTGGGGATGAATGGCTTAATGTAGCAGAATTCATCTCTGCAGCATCTCCAGAGCATACGCACTGCTCAGTATTGAGGCATCATAACAACTTGTTTAGGTATGTTGCTCTAGACTTTTCACAGAGTTTGACAAGTTTGTTCTCTTCCCATAGCCAACAACAAGGTGTCTCAACCTTAGCTCTGTTGATCTTTTGGGCCAAATGATTTTTTGTCCCATGTCCCAATGTCCCATGCATTGCAGGGTGTGAGCGGTATCCTGGGCCTCTCCCCACTAGACAGCAGTGGCAGTACCCCCTCCCCAGGTTGTGACAAACGGAAATGCCTCTAGACATTGCCAGACAAACATCCCTGAGGGTTCTGAATCCCCCCTCATTGGGAATCACTGGCCTACAATATCCCTGGAAATTTGGCCTTTCCCATCTCTGTTGGTGGAATAGAAGGAGATGTGAAGATTTCACAAGAACTCAGATGTAAGAGAAAAAAGGCTGTTGTATGAGAGTTTAAAAAAGATCGCCTGGTGGTATCACCAGAGTCCCCCGCCCCCAGCAGCCGCCAACACAGCACACCTATTCAGAAGTAGGTGGAAGTAGCCACGTGCACACACAGACACGTGGAAACACACAGCAGGACTGAGAACCAGACACACAGTCCCTTTCCCTTCCCCCTCTGCCCCCTCCTCCTCACCTCTCTGTCTCTCCCCGTCCCCTTCTCCTTCCCCTTCACTTTCTTTCTCTTGCCAGTTTAACTGTCTTTTAGGTGACAGTGAAATAGACGGAAATGCACCTGTGCCCCTGCTTCCAGGAGGAGACCTGGTTAATGACGTGTAGCTGTTCCACCTGCTTCATCAACGAGGGGACAATACCTGCCCCCCATCCCTGCCTCATCGGGGAACCACTGGTGGACACAGATGCCCACATTAGCAGGAGCACCAGTGCGGGAGCACCCCCTGAGGCCTCCTCATTGCCCCAAACATCCCCCACGGCAGGACTTATTCAGCCCAGGAGGGGTCAAACCTCCCCTCAGACTCCAGGAGACTCGCGTTGCCACACGTCATTGCTGGAAGAAGTCAGCGCTACTCACGCGACTACTTGGGGAGGACAGCCGGAGGCCTGTGCCTGGACCCTGTTCTCAGCACCTTTTTCCTCTGCTGACCTGAATCTCCATCTTTTCGCTATAATCAGTGGTAAATGCGACTATCACAACTCTTCTGACTTCTGAGGGTCCCATTAGTGCATCGTCAAACCTGAGGGACCCCCCCCAGTACAGCAGGGCACACAGAAGAGAAATCAAGACAACAGAAACAACTCTCTACAGCTCTGGAGAGAAGGTCCTCATCACCTCCTATTCAGGGGGCTTGGAAGATCACCTGTATGCACAGTGCATCAAGTCTGGTTGGCTGTAGACAACCCAGCTGGAGTACGCTGCAGAGGGAAATCACACGTGAGTCTCTCCAGAGGCTGGATTCCGTTTTCCTCATTTATCCTGGTGTCATCTTCCTGAAGTCCCGAGTTTTAGTCCCTTCAGGTACTGTGTCACAGTCTCAGTGCCTAGACTGCTTTGTTCATGCTCGTGTGACGCCCCCACCTCACCCCATTTCTCCAGTCTCAAGATTGCTGCAAGCATCATGGGAGTCTCTTGAAAGTCGATATGTGGTTCCCACGGCCTCGGAGCAGGCAGGGGAGCTGGCATCACTGCCCTGATGGTGCGAGCTCTATCACGTGGCCTCCCACCTTCAAGACCTTACACCAATTTGCAGGAGAGAAAGAAAGGCCACTTCCAAAAAGAACCACGCTCAGTTAATTGATGTTCTGGCTGGTTCCTGGGTGAATTCTGTAAGTGCAGCCGACTTGGGCCGGGGGCCAAGATGAAGAGATGTCACCCACGTGATTTTCCAAAGCCTCAAACAGACTTGCAGATATTCTCCAGGCATTTTTGCTTTAAGGCTGGGGGAAAAAAAGGGGGCGAAGGAACTCACGGGACTGAGGAGGAAATGCTACAGAGACATAAACTCCGGCAGCACCAGCGATGGTTCAGGCCCTTCCAGAGGGCAGGTGTGTGGCCGTGCACGGGACAGGAGTTACTCAGAGTCAATATCAGAGAAACAGGAACTTGGGCAAGACTCCCTTGTTAGTTAACAGAAAAGCCAAATGGGGAGCAACGCTCATTTCTCCAGTCTCTGTTCAGCGATGCTCTTCTAACACCCAGCTGTACCAACCTTGTCTCCCCAGTCTGAGAAGGGTCTCATCACCTCCGATTTAGGGGGCTTGGAAGACTTACCTGGATGCAGTGATCTAAACGATCACTAAACTCATTATTATTTTGCTCAGGAACTATCACGTGACGTTCGCGTGGAGAATTTCATGTGGCCAGGACCGAAGAAGAGTTATTCAATAAGTAATCTGCAAGATTTCCCCTTCTCTCTCTCCATAATGGGTAACGGGATTTCTATCTTCGGCTACTGAGCCCGTCCAACCCCTCCCCCCACCGCCCACTCCAAATGCTTGGTTTTTATGAGGAAGAATAAAGCTGATGGAAAGAAAAGACAGGACACATGGGGGGATGGATTTGTATAAGAAACAAGGATGCTGTGTTTGAGAGAGAAGACAGCAAGAGGCAAAAGGAAACAAAGCTCACCACAGAAGGGAGAGGGAAGCAAAGAGAGAGCCAGAAAGCTTGATTTTTGGAGGGTTATTGGGTGATAAGTTGGAAAAAAAAGCCTCAAGAGAGGTTTTGAGATGGTAGCTTGAGGCAAGAAGTGAGAGGGAAAGGAGGGGCAGGAAGAATAAGGAGGGTTTCTAGGCAGTGTCGTCACACATCCCATGTGATGTTCTGTAAGAGCTCTAAGGGAGCTGGGGGGCTGGGGGGCTGAGGGGCTGGGGGGCCGAGCTAGTCTTTCATTTGATTGTTGTAACGTTAAGCTCATTGCCATATGAGCACCACTTATGTCTGGGTTACATGAAGAAGGGGTTTTTCCAGAGTTCGACTGAATCCTGTGGTTTTTAAAAGCCAGAGTCCCTTGAGCAGACAGTTCAGGATGATGGCACTATAAAATGGTCAAACTATTGGTTTTGGGGACAGACAAGCCCGGCCACTTTTGTCAGCAGGAATAGAATTAAAAACAAAGACGTCTGGCATCCTTGAGAATAAATTGGGCTCAGATGTCAGGAGGACAAGGAGAAGTACTGGGCACCCCACCACCAGCCCCTCAAGCTGCCTTCTTTTTCTTGAATTATTTGTGTACATTGTGCTTTGGTCTAGAATTTGAGTGTTTACCTTGTGATCGTCTTCTGTTTCATTTGTTTTTGTCTTTTGCACTCAGGTGGGGACTCAGAGAGGATAAGAAACTTGCCCAAGAACACACAGAAAGGAACAGTGCTTTGTTGGGCTGACTCCCACTTTTTTTTCAAACTGTTAGGAGAAGGGAAATCAGAAATACCCTAGACCCTTTTTGTGTAGGATTAATGATCACTAGATGAGCTCTCCTTCCCCCTGCTGACCCCATGCAAAGGCAGGAACATCGCTCAGAGTTCTACACATTTTTCATAGCAAGCAATTTACAACACAGTCAAGCTGCATACTTACTGTGTGAACGGGACACCCTTTTCACCCTCTGGCAGATGTATGTTGCATTCTTAAGAAACCAGGAATAGTATTCAAGACAGTACCTAAAAGTTTCAATTAAAGTTGAGAGCAATTATTAGTCTTCGTGGCTATTGGACAACAACCATAATTTTTTTAAAAAAAAAGTCATAATGGCTAATTATTCACAGTAAAGAACTCCCTCTCCATTTTTCTAGGGTGTGGGAAGAGAGACAGAGAATGAGGCTGAGTAGGAAAAAGCTTAGATGTTAGAGTCAGAAAGACTTATTTTTAGTCATACCATCATTACTTACTAGGATGTGTGATTTCAGGTTGACTACTCAATTCTCCAGACCTTGGTTTTCTCATATACAAACAAAAGGTAATAATAGAATCTACACTCACAGGGTGTCCTGAGGTTGCCAGGCGAAAACGTTTGGGAAGTTCCGGACAGCGCCAGGCTTACCATAGGCGCTCGATAAATGATGAAGTTCATTTATGTATTTTTGTGTGTGAGGTGGAGTTAGAGGGCAGTGCTGTCCTAGTTAACACTGCAGCAAATACTTCGCAAAATCATACCCTGCCCTTGGCTGGTGGCTGCAGGGACTGCTTCAAAGGGCTCTGATGAAAGGCCCTTCCTAGTGATCGCACCGTTAGGAAGAAGAGTTTCCAGTGCAGGCTGTGTCCCTGGCTCAACGTCGGACTCTGGGACTCTGCTTGCCTTTCCATCCTTCACCCGAAACATGAGGAGCTTGCGCCAAACATTCCCTAATTTCTCCTCCATCTCTATCATTCTGTGATTCTGGCGTATTCTGGGGAGCAACTAATGGCTCCTGTAAAGCTAGCTGGAAAGATTTCCCAAGCTCTGTTACCTTCAGTTTACAGGACACTATAAAACTGAGGAAACTGAGGCACAGAGATGTTGCTGCTGGAACTCTTGAGGAAAAGTCAAAACTCATTTTCAAGAGCTAAGCAGGTGCTGCAAAAGGGCCAGGTGTTCCTGACTCGGGACAGAGGTCAGGGACAGTGGCCTCCCACCTTTGCGTAGCCACGTGGAGCTCTCCGTGGTCCGAGGACATTCCAGACTGCCTCTCACTCTCCTTCTCTGCACATGCTGGTCCTTTCGCTGGAGTAGCCTCTCCCACCTTCTGCCTAGAAGACTCCTATTCCTCCACAAGCCCTCTTGGTTATTGCCCCTCAGGCCCCAACACCCGTATTCAGGGTCTGCTGTAGTACATGTCACTGCTTTGTGATTTGTCTCTTCACACGGCCAACTTTCCCGCTAAACCAGGGTTTTTTTAATCGCAGAGGCTGCGTATTCAACAAGCACACTGAGCAAAGCCAGCCTCTCACGCTGTTTTTCTCAGCCTGTGCTCAGTGCTTCCTATGCGATTATAGAACAAGTCACTGTTAGGTTGAAACCCAGGGGAAGGAAGGGATAAGCTCAGGTTTACAGATGCTTCCTCATTTCTCCAAATTTAAACTCAAAACTTTTTCCTACAAACTTCTGCCTTGCTCACTGTCCTTCCAGCCAATATGCCATATGGATTTTTCAAATGTGATTTTTTTTTTTGGCCAAGGGGATAAGATTGATGGATTTTGCCTGTGCATATGACTTGATTCTGTCACTTACCACATCATATTTTAATTTGGGCTTATGACCATTTACTCTTCCCAACTATGAAATCCTCAGTTTCTGAGTCCACTTCTGAGTCATCTCCATATAGTGCAGGCTCAGCTCAGTGCAAAACTGATCCATAGCAGAGACTTGACATGTGTTGTTGATTTAAAGAGCAAGTTAGAGGAACAAGGATCTACCAGTGGGCAGATTCGGTAAGAAAGTATTGTTGCCAAAGTTTTCTCTTCTTTCTCATCAGCCTGTGCGGTGGAGCCTCCACCATGCTTGCTAACACCTTTGGGTCTACGAGTCTTGCTTAAGTAGAGGAAGCATCGGCACTGATTGAGGGATCCAAGTCCAGGGCCAGAAAGGGGTGATGGAAGAAGGCTGCAGATCTGACCTTGGGGCTCAGAGCCAGTGGATAATGGAGATTTGAAAAACTGAATGATCTCATAAGTAGATTTTGAAAATAACATTAAAGATCTGAGAGACTGGCCTCATATCATTGGAGTGGAAATATTTATATATGTTGTTTGGCTCTGGGTTTACAGCCAAGGATAAATACCAGAAGGAAGGACAGCGTGTCAGCATTCCAGGCCAGGAAAATGCCCACACCTAGTCCTTCTTAATATAAGATGGGATCTGCCTTCTAATTTTCCTTTTGCAACTTTCTCACCGGGTCAGTAAATGACTGCTAGGGATTTATGAGAGAACTGGAATTTAGGTAGACATAACCTCTGATTATTATCTTCTAGCGAATTTTGCCAGACTGAGGGGTTCAAGGACCACTCAAAGTCCTCTGCAATCATTTCAGCAGATGTGACACAACTCAACTTGACAACACTTGACTCGACTCCGCTGACTGTGTCATGGCCTGATCTTGGCTCTACTGACCCAGAAATGAATGAGGTCCCACCTGGCTCTCAAGGGGTGACAGTATAGTAGAGGACTCACTGGAGTGTCCATTCCATGAGGTACCCCTGTCACCTGTGAGTGGATTACTTAATGTCTGACCACTTAGTGGCCTGCAGAGAAGCCACACAGAATAAGAAGACTATAAATACTGGTCCAGGTCACCTCACAGCCTCCATCCTGGGGTCTCTCTTCTGGCTCATACAGAGGCATTGCTGGAAAAAGCGGCACAGCTCCATCAGGCAAGGGTTGAGCTCCTGGATGGCCAGTGTGAGAGGAGTAGCTGTCATGGCCCCATCCCTGAGGCTCGGCTCAGGACACCCTAGAAGATGCAATCCCAGACCATTCACATCAGTAAGGATTTAGCAAGCATCATCCCTTTGACAGGGACTGTGCTAGGTGAATACAGTCTCACCCCGACCTCAGGTAGCTCCAGACCAACTGGTAAACATGGCGTTGTTTCACATGGTCAGGTAAAGCTGCTGTGAGAGTTCCCGGAGACAGGTGGAGAAGGGTGGGGATCTAGCTCCTGGAGGAAATCAGAGATGGTCTCACTATAACAGAAGAACCAATCTGACTCCATACTGGATCTATTCCTTTAGTTCTAACCCTTGTGCTCTGCTGTTTGTGCTGAGTCATGCTGGCTCCATGGCTTTGTAAAAGAATGTTGCCTAAAGCCTGAAATACACAGGACAGCCCATTCTCAAGGCTTGACCTATAAAAGTATAATATCTTTCATTTAAAGAGAGATAAAAAGTTACAGAACAGAAAATAACAATTGTCTTGTTGGAGGTTTACAGGAACATCATGACCTGACCCACGTGGACAGCTGCAAGAACAAAGGATTCTGGCAGCAAGAAGTTTGCAACAACCAACCACACCAAGAGTTTATTGCTGTAGGATATCAGTTAGAAAATTCACTTCAAATTCTTTTGACTGACTATATAAATCCCAGCCACAAAGCCTTTCTCAGTCCTTGGAAAACATCAGTCCTTTCCTGCCTCAGTGCCTTTGCATTAGCTGTGCCTCTGCGTGGAATGCGTATTTAGAGGCAAACCTTGTTCAGATGCCAGATTCTCAATTAATAAACTCCTCTTGAATGATCTTCCCAGATAGAAGTCATCTCCTCCTCTCTAGATGCACATGGAATTTACTGCTTTTTCTCTTAAGAACCTTACCACTTCCTTCTTAAATTGCAATTTTTTTGTACATATGGAGAACCTTGGGAGAGGTAACATAAAGGAGTGGAATAAACACAGGCCTTGGAATTAGATCTCGGCTCAAAACTTAGTCACTTTTTATCTGTAGGACTCACTAAAATGGCTGAATGAAGATAACATTGCCTTCCCTGCAGAAATACTGTGAAGAAAAAGTAGGCATAGCACAGTATCTGGCCCACAGTAGGAGCTTAATAAATATTTATTGGGTGAGTAAGTGAATGTCAAAAGTGGTGGCATAAATTTCTGGGGATGGGCAGAATCATTTACTGGAAGATGCCAGAACCCCTTCGTTTTATACTTCTATTTCTCATTAGGTGGATGGATAGATGGATGGATGGATGGATGGATGGATGGTTGGATGGGTGGATGGATGGATAGAGCTATATAAGAAGACGCAGATGCAGATATAGACATGGACACAGACAGATATAGTCAGCTTGCTTTGTAAAACTCAGTCTGACAGCTGCCCCCATCTGCACCACTCATGTGTTTTTTTAGAACCTGGAGGACAAAAGGGCTGTAATTTCCTCCAGTAGCACAATCACGTCTTTGTGCCTGAAAGGCCCATTCACCATTCACTGCCAGTTGAGAGGGAGCCTGAGGCAGATTGTAGGGGATGTGAAAAAGGAGACGGTGCAGGCTCCAGCAACTTAATAATGCCCTGTTGACATATGCCTGGATGGTCCAGGAACATTCCAGAAATTAGTATAGAAAGGCATCCAGGAGCGGGAGGGGCCTGAGGACTCAAACGGCTTTGAAGGACTCACTTTGTACCAATTTCTTTCTTATAGAAACTGGCTCCACAGACAAAAGGGCAGTGGGATGTCCAAACGCTGGAAAAATGCTGGGTAAGCCACAGAAACTTCAAGTCCTGAGCCTCCATCAGGTGCAAGGCCAGGAGATGATTTCCGCTAGAATTCTGTAATAGTTCAGTGCGCAGGGATGTCCTTCCAAACAGAGCAAAACTAAATGACACCCGGGGGTGGGAATTTTGGAGTCGTCCTTCACTCCTGCCTCTCCTGCTAACATCACGCTCATCATAAGAACAGCTTCCATTCGCAAAGTGCACAGAACACGCTCAATGGGTGTTCATTCAATAAAAGTGGATTGAATTAACTTATGTGGTGTGCTCCAGTTCCAAATCACTGCCACACACATTACTTACCTAATGCAAAACCCTGCAGGGAAAAAAAGACATTTTTAGTGCCCACAATAATTGTCATTATTCTTGCTTTACCACCAAGGAAATTGAATTCTGGAATTTGAGGCCACCTCACCAGTAAATAGTAGAGCTAGGATTTAATCTCAGCAGTCTGAATCTAAATTTGCCAAACAAACCTCTTTTTATTATACTGCATAACCTTGTCCAAAGCACACACAAACCATGGGAGGGATGGGGCGCCGGCACGTACTTGAAACCTGGTGGGGTCCTGGGACCACGGCTGGCGCTTCTCCAGGGATAAAGGGCCACCCGGCAGGGACATCACCTGCAAGGGCAACGATGGCCTCGCAAAGGTCCAAATGACATGGGTTATACACACAACCAGAGAATCACAACATCTTAAAGGTAAAGAGTCTGAGAAATCTATCAGACAATTGTAGCCAAGAAAGAGGGAGTGCTCTATGCAAAGTCATGGGGGCATTTAATAGCCCAGCCTGGCAGTTCTCCTGCCTCTTCTGTTAGAACCAAGAAAGTACAATAACAAGCTTAGTCTGCCCAAGCCGCCCCGCTCCCATCGCGTCCTGGCCCTGAAGCTGCAGTTCCCGCCCTGGGGAGTGGGTTTCCCTTTCTGGGGGCACGTGCTTACCTGTCTGTGGATATCTGGGGGCCGGAGCCTTGGTAGGACGCTGAGTCTGTGTGCCAGGGGTGGGTGTGTCTGGGATGAGAGAAGAGAGAGATGAGCTTGAGCATCTTTTGAGGATGCGCGAGCAGGAGAAGAGCCCCGCCGCTACCAGTCCTGCCTGGTTCATCCACTGCTGCTCATCGAGCCAGGTACCTGGCAGGGCGCTGAGGATGCGGAAATGAGTAAGAAATAGAGCTCACAATGGAGGCTCTGCCAATGTCAAGGAGGAAACGGGCAAGTCCCTCGGTAACTGTGATCCAGTGTGTTGGGGCCATCGGAAACCAGCTGACGCTGGCGTGACACGACGGAGCCACATGGGAGAGCAGTGGTGATGCACGGGCCATGTCCAAGCACGGCGCTCCCGGGTGAAGGGGACACAAGGTGCTCTTCCTCCAGCGGAGTCCGGCGCGCACACTCACCCCACCCCGGGAACGTCCACTCCCGCGATAGAGTGGGCTCAGCTCAACAGCTCTTTTGATCCTGTCCATAAAGTCCTGAGTTAAGGGCCACTTTTGGGAGTGATCGTGATATCAAGATTCACGCCTCTGGCAAGACCAGTAAAGCAGCCTTCTTATAGGGAATGAGGGGGAGGAGGGTGAAGCGGGCCATTCGCTCCTGTGGTTAAGTGGAAGGAAAGGGGTGAGGCTGGGGTGCACTGTGACACGGGTGGGGGCTGGGGCAGGTGACATCTTCCCTGGGACAGAAGAAGCACAGCCATTAGTGAGGGGAACCGGCCTTCCAGGCAGAGGAAAGAGCTCCAGCAAAGACGCTGAGAAGTGAGTGGAAGGCAGTCTGCCGTGGCTGGAGCCTGGAGGCTGAGGTGGGGGGCGGGGGGCGGTCTCAGAGCCTGGGCTCGAGGGCACGGTGCTGCAATCCGCTTGGTCTCTATCAGGCTCCTCTGCTAGGCTGGTGGGTGAGACAACGTTATACCAAACTGCCTCAGCAGCAGAGGTGAGCAGCCTGATGCATTTACGGCTGACTGTATGCAGGAGGCCCAGCTCCAGGCAGCAACCTTGTCATTTTCTCAGAGTGGGTCAGCCTCCTCTTTGGATTCAGATACTGAGGGGAGCCCCTGAACACAGATGGCACTGTTCTATCTTAGAATAGATGCTTTGTTTCTATGCAGTTCTGGAAACTGAGCAGCCTTGACCACACCCCAAACACAGCACGGACTTGTCTGCGGTGGCTATTCACACTTTCACTAAAGGACTGCAGAATTACAGAGGATTAGGGCTGCAAGGGGCCAAAGGAAAAAGGCTGGCCTCCGGGGGATGCCGGGTTTGCCACAACCCTTCCTACTGTGTCTCCAGAGGCCGGCGCTCTGCTGCCGCTGTGGGCGCAGTGGGACAGGGTGGTGGCCATTGCCGTTGACTGAGTGGTTCCAAGGTGCCGCGTGTTGAGCTGCACACCTGACAGCCATCACCTCACTGAATCATCACAGCCACTCGGAAAAGTCGGCATCGCCTCCCTCGTTTCGAAGATGAGAAAACCGGGACTCAGAGAAATCAAAAGAACCACCTAAGGAGACAGCGAGGGTGGAGTCAGGACTCTGCCCTACTGTGTCTGAAATAAAGCCCAGCGCGCAAAGCCTCAGGGCCCGCTGACTGCTGCTGGGCCTCTGGCCAAACCCAAGGGTGTGTCAGTCTTTCTTTTTCCCTATGCAGTTATGCCACGTGTTTCTCTGAGTAAAGCCATCAGTTTGCATTCCCAGATCTGTTTGTGCAAGTGAGATTTTTGAGCACAAAGTCAAGACTTAACATTTCCCTTTAAAATTCATTTGCTTCTTCCCCTCTATTTCTTAAGGAATTCAGGCAACTCAATCAGCTGTCACTGAAGGCCTGCTGTGTTTCATGGGAACCGGAGATTACGGACACAGGTCTAAAGAGAGCACAGCCCGAAAGGGAGGAAGGTCAAGTTCACGGACCCTAACAGCACAGCAGTGATGACAGTTACCATCCACTGAACACAGAAGCACAGAAGAAGGGCCTCTGGCTGCAGAGATCAGAGGCAAAGATTTTAAAAACACATAAACCATTTTTGTCTGATTATAGGAGTTGAAAATATGCAAAATTTATGACACTCAAGTGAAGAAAAAATCAACATCCTATGTACTCCCCAGATAGAGTCAAGGTTAACACGTTGTGAATTTCTCTTAGTCTTATTTTATTTTTATTTTTGTGTGTGTGTCTATTTATCATACACATGCACATGCATACACACATAAATCCACACACAAACACAAAATTGGAATCACACTTGACAATTTCCCAAGTGCCTTTCAGAGCGCAGGCCTTCCTCATACTATATGATGACATTTTAATGTGTATATCAGTATATTTGCATATGTAATTAATGGAGGTGGGAGTCAGCATCCTCTCTTACCTGAGGTCAGGCTGGTCCAGGATGGGCTGTCAGGTGCGGCCGCTGTCCTAGCAGGAGACCAGGAAAGGCTCCTTGTGTTCGTGGCCTCCTCGGACTCTGCAGATGCTGGTGTGGACGTAAGCGTTTCCCAGGGAGGCCCTCCAGGGGTTTTCTCCCTGGTGACCTGAGCCCGGAGCACAGGCAGTGTGGAAGCCCATGCCTGCCTGTGGGCTGTCACCCTGGGAGTTCCGGCCACCTTCCCGGTAGCTGCACAAGTGACAATAACAGGGCACGCACCTGCTTGACCACTTTGACTCAGATGTAAAATTAACAAGACAGTGAAATATAATCAAAGGGTACATGCAATGCACACACATAATACAGATAATCCAGGGACTTAAACTCTACCCTGAACTGGAATCAGTGGACCAAACTCAACTTTGTTTTCCTAACCACCAATTAAAAAACATTCTCCGAATTCCGACGACACTCACCAAACAGCTAGGGTGTGTGTTTGGGGGATGGTAGACTCTGTCAAATTTAAGAAGTATGTTTCTAATCATGCGACATAGTGGAAAGGTTACGGGGTTAAAGGTGAAGAGAACTGGACGTGCAAATCCTGCTCCCACCTCCTCCATGCTGTGAACTTCGGGGCAAGTTACTGAACTCTTTTTAGCTTAACCATTAAAAGGGAGGAGATGATGATGGTGGTGGTGGTGATGAGGATGATGGTGTCTGCCCTACAATTCCACAGGATGGGAATTAAGACAAGTCTTCCCTCATTGGTCTTTTTAAACAATTATCAGGCACTTTCACTTGTTCATTCTCATGGTAGGAATTAAATTTCTTTTTCAAAACTAATCCTCTGAGAGGATTTTAAGTCTATACGTTAAGTGGGAACAGTCGTCATCTTTAGAATACTCACACTTCTCATTCAGAGCACGGTGCATCACTTTATTTATTTGAATGTGCGTTTATTATTCTCATTCAAGTTTTGCAGTTTTTCTTATATAAAACTCGCACTTTCCCTGTTTGGGTGATAGCTAGGTACTTCATGATTTTTCTGGCTACTAGCAATTACATTTTTTTTCATTTTATACTGGAAAGCTTTCTAGCTTTACAATTACGATGATGCTGGATATATTACCAAACTCTTTTCTTGTTAGTGAAGCTAATTCCTTTTCCTCATGCCTGTCTCCCTGCCTGCCTGACTTTTATCAGTTATTAACCTCCTCAGGGGAGCCCCCTCTCTGGGCTCTCCAGGGCAATAACTCTTTGTAAACTGGATCATAATGATCAGTTTACTTGTCTACATCTCTCCCTTAGATCTGTGAGTTCAGGAAGGAAAGGGAACATTGATGGAGCTGTGTTTTTTATTTTAACAGCTAGCCTGGGATCTGGTATTAAACGCATGTTTTGATGAATGAATGAATGAGTGAACAAATGAATGAATTCTGATGACTCTGGTCCATTGTTGGAACTCACGGAGACGTAACTGACTTTTAATGAAAGACTTATCACAGTTGTATCTTATTTCCAAATAGGATAAGCACGTCCTTTACATCCAGTGACAACACCACGGATAGTCTCCACAAAAATGATGGGAAAAGAGGAACTTCTCAGCATGTCATCGGCAGCTGTTTTTCACACTGGCATCAAGTCATTAACACATTCTTGGCGTCATTATCCAGCCAGCTACAAATTAATCTAACCTTGCCATAAGATGTTGACTTCATTTCACCATTTACTGTGAACTTCAGGACAGATACTGCTAACTGCTTTGCTGAAATAAAAATACCTAATATTACAATGTACTACAATTATATAAGATGTTATCATTGGGGGATGCTGGCTGAAGGGTACCAGAGAAATTCTGTATTATTTTTGCAGCTTCTTGTGAGTTTTAAAACTATTTCAAAATTTATCAAAATAAACATTAGAAAGACTTTATGCCAGTGACATTTGCTGCCTTTGCTTATATGTATCGAACCCGTACTGGCTCACATCAATCTCCTACTTAAGGGATGCTGAAGAAGGAAGAGGCTGGTGGAGAAGGGATAAGGGAAGGATTTCACGTATGTATCTGGTCTGAAAGGAACTGGAGAGGGCAACAGGACAGGGGAGGAAAGGGTGAGAAACCCTACCCAAGGCTGGGAGGGTGGAGGAGGCACTGCCGGGGGTGGCACTGGTCGTGGCTCTGGTCGTGGCTCTGGTGCGAAGCTCAGGAAGCCCGTCCGTGTTCACGGTCTGCCCTCCCTCTGAAGGAGGAGTTGTCTCTGTTCTGGAAGAGGTTCTCGGAGAAGACACTCCAGTGCTCTGGGGTCCGTGCAGGGGGCTTGTCCCTGGTAGTGTCTGTGGGCTGGTGGGTGTGAGCTGTGAAGTCCCGGCCATGCCCCTGGTAGCTGCACATTTGAGGAGACAGGCAACGGCAGCTTTACTTTGCCTGGCACTGTGGACACAGAGGACTGTCGAGCCACTGAAAGGTCATCAGACAGCAACGATACAGAATGCAGAGATTCAAACCTTAATCCGAATGGCAACTTATGTCCCAAGAGGAGGGTTTCTCCTTGAATGACAAATTCAGCTAAAATATCCATCTTTGAAAATGCCGTGTGAAAAAGCACTGTGCACACAGTGCAAAGCTGTCAGATCAAAAGCATCAGACACCTGACGTGTTTCCTGAACGGAACCTGAATCCCGTCAGAGTCCTTGCCCACTTGGCAGCCCTCAGCCCCTCCACAGCTCTGGAACTGTCCCTGGAAGAGGCATTAGGTTTGCTCATATGCCCTGTGGGTACGACTAGGGACCAGAGGTGAAATTTGGAGGAATTAAGGGCTGCCAGAAGCTACCAGGCAGGCAGGCCCCCACAGAGACAGCAGGAAGGCTTAATTCAGAAGGAGAATTAATGGGTATGCACAAGACAAAGGACTTCGGACCCTCTGCTGCTGACTTGGGAGTTCTGAGCAGTGAAGAGTCATAACCCAATCACAATATCACTCTTATGGCAAAGGATGGACATTGTGGAGAAATAAGAGGCAGGGTCAAAGGAGATTCGTTTGGAGACTATTACAGTAAAGGTAGATGACGAAGACTTGATCTAAGATAATCATAGAAGCAGCAGGTGATCTTGGAAGAGCAGCCAGAGTCCAGAAAATTTATTCAGCTAGAAATGACAGTTAAGTGTAGGGGAGAAAGACAGCTTTAAGGTGGTTCTAAACATACCACCTGGTGCTAGAGAAAAGGCAGGAAGATGGGTGGGTGTGTGCATGGAGGGGTAGAGAATGGTTGGGTAGTGCCTGGGTATCACAGAGGACCAATGTCTACAACAGGGACACAAATTGAAATACCTACCAAAGCCAGGTAGTTAATATGAGGGGAAAAGGTGCAAGGCAATAGGGAGCAGTGAGGACTATGGAAAAGAGGAGAAAGGTGTCTTTCCTAATGGGGAGGATGGGGGCAGCAGCTGCTCAACTCCAGTTGCTTGTTGCCATGGGTTAGGGGGAGGATTCAGGGCTGCCAGATGTTTTGAAAAAAAAATCTAGAAATGCAAAAAAGGTTTTTAAATGATGAAATCCTCTGATTTTAACACAGTACAGCTAAATAAGCACCTGAGGACAGCATTCAGTGTTCAGCTTGCTGGCTGGGACCCTGGTCTGCAGACTGTATAGTAGGAGTTTGGGAGGTTTACACTCACCCAGAACACCAGGCATGCTGCTGGTAAACGTGTAATTGATAACGGGAGATTTTTCCGCCATCTCCCAGAAGTCAGAAAAATTCCTTCCTGCAAAAACCACGCCGAGAGTCAAATCTTGGGCTCACCTGCCGAAGGTTTGTGTATAATTCTTAGCTCAGTGAGCTTGTCAAAGAATGGCTGATGGTTCACCTGACTTTCCCGTCATCACACAGATGAAGATGCAGTCGGATTCATTCATTTGACTCGCTGTAAACAAACCGGTACATAACGGGACTTAGCAATGGGTCTGAAGCTGTTAAGCCTTTGGTTGAAATGAAAATTAAGCAGGAAACCTCTAGCTCAGATGCTACAGGAAAATAAGGCTCACTCGTTATTTAGGAGCCCTGATTTTCAGGCAGCCCTGATTTTCTGGATTTTTTTTTTTTTGAAGAGTGGGGGTGCAGTATAATGTAATGCTAAGGGCAAAGCCTCTGGGGTCAGCTGCTAGGATTACAACGTTAGCTCTGCCACTGATTAGTTAAGTGAACATAAATGAACTGCTTCACTTCTCTAGGAGTTCACTTGCTTTAAAAAGGGGAAAGTTCAAATCCCATAGTCCCTTATTTGCACTTTCTAAATCCCCAAAGCTCTGTAAGATGGAAGGTTTTGTGTGAGTTTGATATCAAAACTCATTTGGTGGCAAAACATGGCTTTGTCAATCCCTCTTTAGTGTAAAGAGTCAACCATTTTGCCAAATGACTATGAATGTGTTTGGTACATAGCAGGCTGTCCTGGATGCTGCTGGAGGTGTTATGTTATGTATGGTGTAGACACCCTATTAGACCTTCAAAAGTGAAAACTTCTGAGTTTCTAAACACACTTGTCCCTGAAGATGCTGCCTGAAGGACCGTGGACGTGTGGTTGGACATCCCTGGTGGGATGGCAGTGATGATACAGTGAGATAATGTGTGTGAAACTCTTAAGTATGGTGCCTGGCAATAGAAGAGCTCCGTAAGTAGTCATGGTAATAATAACGGTTATTGTTAGCATGGTCCTATTATTATATGTGTTAGCAAAGTGACCAAGAGCATGGGCTTCAGGGAAGCTATAGCTCAGCGGTAGAGCACATGCTTAGCATGTATGAGGTCCTGGGTTGCATCCCCAGTACTTCCATTAAAATAAATAAATAAATGTAATCTTCCCCCCAACAAAAGAGCGTGAACTTCAGAGCCAGATCACCTGGGTTAGAATTCTATCTCTGCAGAATGATTTGGGCAAGTGGGTCTACCTCTCATGTGTCAAGTGGGGATAAATATGGTAGCTACCCCATAGGGTTGCAGTGAGGGTCCAATGAAGGAATCCATGGAAAGCCCTTAGAAGAGCCCTGGGCACCTAATGATATTTATTATTATTTCTTTTTCTTCTTCCCCCACTACTTCTATAGCAGTAGTTGCTCCGTAGTACACAGCACCATTTTTCTGATGAGACCATGTATTAGGCCATTGACTAGATCTGTGCTTTTCAAAGTTAAGTCCCCAGGGGAGGGTGAACTGGCTGAGGGTTATATGAAGCCACCTTACAAATGAGGCATTTCTTTCTCAACTGTATGTCAGACATGAGTTTAGGCTCCACACAGACCTAAATATGAATTCTGAACCAACCTTGAGCAAAATATTCAGCCTCATTGAATCTCAGTTTTCCTATCTTTAAAATAGGAGTATAGTTGTCCAACAGAACTTTTTTTTTGAGTTTGCTTCTACTCCCCGAACTTTGAGCCTTGGATTTTTTTCTCCAGTTTTTTGGACCCCAGGACTAGCACTGATGGGAAGATGGAACCTTCAAATACCAGTGGCTGAATCGGGACCACACTGATTGTCTACACAAAACTTACATTGAAGTTCCTGGAAGCCTGGCCTATGGTAGGGGTTTGGGTTGGAGGGTTTACTAGGTTTCTGTTCCATGATGAATGCCAAGTCTCAAACTCACAAGCATTTTCAAGACGAGCACACCTGAAAGAATGGAGGTCGACTTAAAAATCTCTGTGAGGTAGCTGGTAGAATTTCCAATGACGTCCACCAGGAGGGCTGTGAAATCTGCAAGACAGATTGGAGAGGCTTAAATTTCTGAGAATTGGTTTAAATTTCAGAAACTTGAGGGGAAGAGAATATTGTATTTGGATTTTTAAGAGTAGATTTGACAAGTCTGACTTAGTTCAGTGTATTGAAGAATATTAACAGTCATAAAAAGAATTATTTAAAAAAATTTAATTTCAGGCAAGCAGAAAACTTTTGGTTCCATCATTATAATCCCCTTTCTCCTCCCATTGCCCTCTCCCCCTCTGATCCTCCTCTGCCAGCACGAAGAGCTGTGCGAGTCTGTATTGTTGAGTAACAGTTTTTCTGATTGGTTTTTGCCCTGTTATTTCATCTAATTGCTTCAGGATACCAAATCCAACAGACAGGAAGCAACCCTACAGACAAGGGGTGTACATTTTCATAATTTCAGATTTTCAAATTGATACCAAACTTAGTGATGGGTGATAAATTATGTACTATCAAGGAGACAAGGGCTCTATACAAAATAGAACCAGCAACCTTTCTGCCTGCCTCCCATGCCAAGAAGGCTGATGGGAGGAGATTGGGATAAACTTACATTTTAAGAAATAATATCTTTGAGAACATTCTCTCTAAAGAAGTCTTTTGAACAAGGCTTGACACAGTGGGTGCCACTGACCAATGGAAGTTCCTAATACACTTCTTACCCAAATGGCTGCTGCCTCCTCTGCTGTTCATTTATGGTTTTACAGGACCCAGCAAGTTCTTGGCTTCTAAAGCAAGGGGTGTGTATTCTAGGAGCCCCAAACAGTGACTTTCGAAAGAAGAAGCCTCTGAGGTCCGTTGGGTAGTTCCCATCAATGTATAAATGCCTCTTTTACTCAGTAATGGGATTATGAGCTGGGGTGAGGGGTAAGCTGACTTGAAAATATAGAACCCAAAGAGGCATGAAAATGTGACAACCAGTGGATGTACAACACGGGACACAAATAGGAGGTGGGCACCATTCTATATGAGGCAGAGCCATGGTGCCCTGCCATCTTACACCTGTGTGGATGCATGGTTTCTCCTGGAGGGGAATGTGGCAGTGCACCTATGCAGGTGTGCACACCTGGCCACGCAGAAGGTAGGCAAACTTGGGCATCCTTCTCTACATCTCCAAGACAGATCTGTTCCTAGTCATGTTATGGAGACTGAGGAAGAACAGTATTTCATTTCTTATGCCTTCTCCTTTCTTTCTAATTCTCAAAAGTCTCCTTTGTTTATTAATTCATCCAACTAATAAATACTCACTGAGTGTTCGCAGTGTGCCAGACACATGTTAGGCACTGGAGGACTGTGTCAGGCAACATCTCTGCCCACCAGAGACTGAGATTAGTGGGAGAGAGAGCCGCATAAACAGATCAAAAAATCACAATCCATAATTGCAATCCACTAGTAATACTGCATAGAAGCTATGAGCATGGTTCTGGAGCCCCAACACCAAGGATGGAGTCCAGATTCTGCCCAAGTTTCAGAGAGATGATGGAGAGTCCCCATCATTATAATCCCCTTTCCCCTCCCATTGCCCTCTCCCCTTCTGATCCTCCTCTGCCAGCACAGCTGCCATTTGAGCTGAGATCTGCCTTGTGCTAAAGCTCCTATTCATGCCTAAATTCCCACCTCTGCTCTTACTCAACGTGTTTTTATCAATTCTCCCTTTAAAACTGCCTTCACATTCTGGTCTGCTTGGAAGAAAATCAGTTATCACTATCTCAAAGATATTCTTTGTTTTACTGAAAATTTGAGTAATCTAATTTACTAGCAACACTTAGAGATGAATGATTTCTGACTACTTTCATATATAAATAGAAAGTAGGAGAAAAAACCCTTTTTGTCTATCTTACTGGTAACGATTTATGAATGTACTTAGCACGCAGTGTTGGCAAGGGTGTGGAAAAACACATGCTTTCAAACATTATTGGTAAGAATGTAAACTTCTGCATGATTTCTAGAGGAAATTTTAGCAGTTTGAATCATCACAAAACCCTCTTCCTGTCAGACAACAATTCTATTTTGAGGACTTTATCCTATACTGATAATTCGGCAAACAGTCCAAACGATTGTACACTAGCATCATCATAGCATTGTTGATAGTTGTTTAAAAAATAGTTTCCATAAAAGGAGATAAATTAAATAAATTATGGTACATTCTTTCAATTAATACTATGAATTCATATGAAGGATGAAGCCTATTTATATTCATTGGAATGCAATTTTTTTAAGACATGCTTATTAGTTCAAAGGTGGGTTATAAAACTTCATGGAAAACATAGTAGACACTGATAACTGTCTCCCAATATCCGTCGTCTCATTTTCCTGCAGTAAGAGAATGTGAAATTTCAGTTGGGCACATGGTGGTTTAACATAATTGAAAGTTACATGTTCAAGCCTGCTTTGCAGGTGGGTGTGGCCAAATGACTCAATTCTGGGCAACAGAAGTTCTCTAGTGAATGGACATGCCTTCCGATTCCTTTCTCCCCTTCCTTGTAGCTGGGATGTGGTGTGGTCACAAATCACCCTGGACTATGAGAACAAGGGCCAAAACTTGAGGAAGGCAGAGCAAAAGCTAGAAGGAGCCTGGGCTCCTAAACCATGAACCCATCAGACCAGCCCTGGACTGTGTGGCCCAGACTGTCACACATGAAAACTTTCCCTTCTATAAGCCACCTTATTTTGGGGTCTTTTGTTATAAGAGCCTACCTTGTATTCTAAATAAGACAGAGAATTTTAGAGTAGATGGGTAGGTGGATGGAGTAGGTAGGCGGGAAGGAGAGGTCGGTTGGAGAGGTGGCTGGCAGATGGCTAAGACGGATGGGTTAGAGAGAGGTGGCTTAGACCCCCTTGGGTGATGCGATGACCTATGGATGTTGGGATATCAGGAATTTCTGATTTTTGGATTATACTTTCCATGTTGTATGGCATTTTAACATCACCATATATTATTTTTTTAATCAAGGAAATTTAAGCTATTCTCATTAAGCAAAAACACCGTCGAAGGAAGGCTATATGTTAGAATTGAGAATATTCAAAAGAAAATGATCCAGGTCTGAAGATTATCCACGAATACACATCCCTGCCCAAAGATTTTGAACAATGGCAAGATGTTGGTCTAAGTGGCCCCAGGTAGCGATCTGAGGGGAATCGGCATCAGGCACTCCGTGGAAGTCGCCGTGGCTTACCACGGGAGCAAGGTGCTGTTTTATTAGTAGTAATCATCTCTGGATCAATTCTTTTTAAATAAGCATTTCACATGTGCAGAAATACACTTTGGCTCACCAAACAGAATCACAGAATTTCCCAGCCGATGTGCCTTCACTTTGTAAATTTTATTTTTATCATTCATTCCGTCAGGGCAGGGACCCAATGCCTGCACTAAAGTTGGCCCCCAGCAGGGGCTAATGACATAGTGAGAAAGATGCAATCATGAAGAACTTCTTCCCTCACAAATGTAATTTGCGGACAAAGCCCAGAGGGTGAGTTAACTAAGACGATGGTACTTATTGCAGGGCCTGGCAGCCAGTACTCGTTAACAATGATCATTATTCTCTTTAAAACGTTCACAATGTTGGTCCAGAAATACCACCTTGGGGAATCTATCCTCAAAAAGTAATCTAAAACAGGGAAAAGTTTCATGCACAAAGATATCCAATACAGGATTTTTTTATCTTAAGAAAAACCCAGAATCCACCCCAAAATTCAACAGCATACTAGCTAAGAAAATGCTCACATTCATAGGTTATGTAACTATCACACATATTTGCAAAGAGTTTGTCATATCATGGAAAGTATTTTTAATATTAGGTTAAGTTGGGGAAAAAAAGCAGGAGGCTTTTCATCCTTCAGTCTTTGTTCTCTTATAGTCTATTCTTTAACAAGCAGCCAAAAAGATCCTTTTAAAATGTAAATTAGATCACGTCGCTTCTCTGTGTGGATAATCAAAATGGCTTTTTTAAAATTTAGAGTAAAAACTGAAATCCTTGTGGCAGATTATAAACTTCTACGTGATCTGCAACACCCTTCCTGCCTTGCCCCTACAATTCTGAGCTCATTTCCCAGGACTTTCTGACTTAGCTCACCTGTTCCAGCCACACTGGGCTCTCCAGTCCTCACTTTGTTGCCTGGGCTTTTGCCTGGAACACTATGTCCCCACATACCATAGGGCTGTCTCTCCACTCCCTGCAGGGTGCCCCTCAACCCTCACCTCATTAGAGGGGGTTTCCCTGACCACCCTGCACACAGCAGCCATCCCCACCATCACTTCCCTCCTCACCCTGTCCCCTGCTTCATTGTTCTCATGGTCACACTATTAGCCAACCTACTGTGTGTTTTCAGTTTATTCCTGCACCCCCTGTCCCTTCCTACAGAATCTAAGTTCATGAGAGCAGGGGGCATGTCCACTTCACTCGGGGTGGTGCCCTCACACCTAGAAGAGTGTCTTTCTAATAGTATGGGCTCAATAAAGAACTGTTGAATGGTTACATTAGTGGGGAGAGAGTAATTTTCATTTTTACTTTTCAGGATTCTCTAAAAATGAGGAACATGTCATACCCTTAATGTTTAACTATAAAAATAATACATGAATACACTGTCATTGAAAAAAAATCAGATAATACAAAGTCCCCTTAATCAACACTCTTTTTTTTCAACATAGACTCCAATCTTCTTCTCAGAGGTAATCACCAGTCTGGTGTTCAGATACATCGATATTTTTTTACCAATGATATTTTATTCCATTTACTTACTTTGGTACTCTCTAGCTAATATTTCCATACACAGGCCGCATCTGGCCATGTGCATCCATTTGTGTGCTGTCTACAACTGCTCTCCAAAGTTTGGTGATACAGTAGACTGTTCAACCATTTTCCTAATGATGGATATTCAGACTGTTCTCAGATTTTGCTCTTAAAACAATGCTACATTTTGTTCTTGCCAATTTGTGCAGACATAACTATTTCTCTAGAGTGAAAAAAAAGACAAGAAAAGAATTTTCTGGGACAATGAAAGTGCACATATTCAAGCATAATGGATATCACTGTGTTTTCCGATCTTAGCCTGGGAGCCTGATGGTGAGTCCACCCACCTGATAAGTCGCTGGTCCCGTTGTTTAAGCAGTAGCAGTACCGCGTGGGGAATCGGGCCAGGTCCACAGACCTCAGGTGAGAAACTGCGAAGGGAAACGAACCACACGGCATCCCTGACACAGAGCCCGGCCCTGCCAGCCCGTGGCCTGGCATCGTCACCACCAAGAAGAGCCGCAGCACTCACTGTTGTAAATGGCCACCGCGAACTTGTGGAAGGCGAAGGAGCTGTAGGAAGTGATACTCAGCAAGGAGAAGAACTTCTTGCTCTCTGCCAAAGAAAGCGAGACAAAGAGACAGCAAATGCCTACTAAACAACAGTAGAGGAACAGCCGTAGAAATGAGTAAACTGATACTAGAAATTAATAATGCAATAAACAAGTGAAAGTAACAAATAATTAAAATGGAGAAGAATAAACAAGATCAAATCGAAACAAACCAAAAAAATGTGCCTTGGCTGTATTTCCTGATCTGTCCTTAAGCTCTAGAGATTGTTTAATAATGCATTTGGGGTCAGAAACGCCTGCGCAGGCCCCGTGTGAGGAGCGCGGCTTGCTCTCAGACTGTCGGCGGACCTCCTGCTTCACGTGGGGGTTTTCCTTCTCACCGTGAGCTAAGTAGGGCCCAGTCCTCCGCTCTGAGCACGGAGGAGCTGACACACACAGACCTGGCATGTCTCCCCCAGGCCACCAGGAGTCCAGCAGTGAAGCAGGGACGAGACAAAAATGGACCCAGATTGTGCTTTTGAAAGAAGCGGTCACCTTTTAAAGCTCTACTCAGCATCCCGTTCACCAGCTCTGTCAGGTTAAGTGCAGACAGATCAACCGACCTCACAGGCAGCTCTGGAAGAGATTCAAAGATAACGTCCTTGGCAGGCCTTTCTTGGCAACCGAAAAAATTTCCTCATTTCCAACATTCAGGCAGCTGTGCCTCCTCTTTGGACATTTACTGAACGTACACCCTGTGCCCGGCACGAGGAGTTGGAAGATAAAAGGCAGTTCCTGTCCTCAGGAAGTGACAACCAACGGCATACACTGTGACGAGTGAGAGCAGGTAGACGTCCGGGTGAAACACAAGGAGCACTTACTTTAGGGAGTATTTCCTCTCTGCATTTGGAGGGAGTCGAGGTTGGTGGAAGATGCTCATATGTAATTTATAAGCCCTAGGAAATCACAGGCGTTCTTGATGCGCTGGGTGATACAAATGATGGCGCTGTCTCATAGAGGATCTCAGCTCCTGACTGGCCACTGGCATCCCCGGAAAGATTTTTCTTTCAATTCCACAATTCTGCTGTTTGGGCTCTGTCCTTAGAGATTCAGGTTTAATAGGTCTGGGAGGGGTCCCAGACATCAGCACCTAAATCAATCAGTCAACCAATGGCCCAGATATTGTTAGCGTGCAGCCAAGTGGAAGGCTGCTGCTGGATTAAAATCTGCCCTTCTCCCAGCTTTTCCCTGAAGATTTGGAAACAACGGTTGACAAGGAGGAAACAGTGTTTGATGTTACTCTTTATGTTTTTGCAAACATTGTCCTTTTCAACTCTTACTTAATGTTGGGATAACTGTGGATAAAGCAATCTGAGGACTGGGGAGATGCGGTTGCCCTGCTGTGGGGGTCGGGAATGGAGGTCCAGAGGGGTGGGAGAAGTTGCCTCAGGAGCCCAGGCCACCCATGGAGCACTGGGGGGGGTGTGTGTGAGGTGGGTGATAGTCACCTGCGGTGCCAAGAAAAGCTACTCCCTTTTCTCTGCTCTCTTCTCCTCTAAGGCTAGACACTGGGAAGAGAAACGGCTTCAGGAGAGAAATGGGAGACTTCAGCCCCAGCCCCAGCCCCTACTCCTAGAGAGTTCTCAGAGGCCTATATTACGGCTGCCCTATGCCTTAGCGATGTGCATCACTGGGGGCTCTGCAAAAAGGCAGGCCCTGGATCCCTCCCTCGGAGACTCTAGTCCCTTTGGGCTGGGCATGGTCTAAAAGTCCACAGTTGAATAAACAGACAAGGTGATTTTCATGCAGGGGTTCTAAGGAACCCCATCTCTTTACTGGGTTGGGAAACTGAGGCTCAGAGAGGAGAAGAAACTTGCACAACTGACCCTTGCTAATGAAGGGTCAGAACCTACTTCCAAAATATCAGGTCACTTGTCTTCTCAGCCAGTTTCATGCCACCAAAGAAGAAAATGTCAAAGGAAATTTTGAAATGCCAAAGGCATTCATTCATTCTTCACTCATTCAATACGTACTCACCTAGGGCCAAGCAATGTGCTAGGTGTTGGGTATAAAGAGGTCAATGGGAAAGGACAGGGTCTCCACCTCTACAGAGCCACTGCCTGCGGCTCAGAGGGACGAGGAGATTCACGTGTAATCCCACGTGAGGAGTGCCAAACAGGGAACAGCAGGATGCTGTGAGCGCCTCTCTCAGAGAGCCCAGCCTGCTCCAGGGGATGCAGGAAGTGACATAAAGCCGAGACCAGAACGATCAGCTGTTTGGGATTAGATGTCATTTAATCATACTGCATTTGTTATATTATTGTTGTAATGATGACTTTTTCATGTCGTATTCCACTGGAGAAGGGCTTTATGTCCATTTTATACATGAAAAACCAAGGCACAGAGAGGCTGAAAATGAGTTATACTATTAGAGATTAAGCCAGATTTAGGGCTGGTCTAGTTACCTGTTGCACCAAGGAAAGCCTCATCATTTTCCTTCTTAACTTCTTTATTTCCAGACACTGAAACAAAAGTTTTTATGAATAAAATAGTATTGTGGAAGCACAGCCTCACACAATTTATAACATCCTTAAAAGTCATCTTGTCCAACACCCCTGCTGAAAGATGCGGAAATCGAGGCCCAGAGATGTTAAGGGATGTACCTAAATCCCACATCTGGCTAGTGGCCCTGTTTCTCCCTCCCCCAGCTCCTGGCAACCACCTTTCTTCTCTCTGCCTCTGTGAATTTGACTATTTTAGGTTCCGCAAAGAAGAGGCATCATGTAGTATTAATCCTTCTTTGACTGGGTGATCTCACTTAGCATAATGTCCTCTAGGTTTATTCATGTCATTGCAAATGGCAGGATTTCCTTCCTTTTTAAGGCCATATAATATTCCATTACGTATATATACTGCATTTTCTCTTTCCATTCACCTGATGGACGCTTAGGTGGTTCCCTCTGCTTTTCATGTGCTCTGTTGGCACTTAGGCCCAGTCAGGAGTTGTCAGCCAGTGTGGCCTTTCACCAACGACCAGGCTTTTTGGTTCAGTATCAGAGCCAAAGGGTTAGAGGTGGGCAGCGATGATGACTCTCCTCAACTAGCACATGGAACTGGAGCTGGGGGCTTATGCTACAACTAAGCAAAGTCTGAGACAGACATTTATTACCAAGCAGGCCAGACGCTGTCAAGCAAGCCGACCTCTGGCTTGGGAGAGTCAAGCTGTCTCCCTGAGGTGGCCTGCGGGTCACTCTGTGTGAACAGGAGCAGCTGCAGCGAGATCTGTGGGAGGCACCCTAACCTCTCCTGCTACCTGACCTGGCAGCAGAGCCCTCCATGCAGGTGAGGGGCCAGGGTCACCTGGGCTCTGGATTCCCAGGCCTCAAGGATGCTATAGGCTTCTGGGCTGGCAGGATTCCTACACCCGTCGAGTCAGAATGATGAGGCCTGGGCTGCGATCTTCCTAAACAAGAACTTTTCCTGAGTACTGCTCCTTGCATGAGGAGAAATGATTTCTACCACTTCTTTTTATAATTGCACACCCGTGGGTGGATTTTGATAACGATATTGGAAGCGTGAATGAGAAACTCCTGAAGCAGGGATTTCTGAATAGGATGCTGTGTAGAGGCATTTTAAATAAATTGCTGGGCAGATAATATAAAACTATTGTTCCCTTTTGGGATCAAAAGACTATATGGTGGTATCTTTAAGATAGACAGTATCGGCTGTCTTCATACTTAGCGATGCTTCAGATTTTATTATCTTTTATCCTTTATGAGCCCCTGCGAAGCAGAAATTGTTGCTTCCATTTAAAGAGAAAATTTAAGGCCCCAAAAGGGGAAATACTTATTGAAAATTATCCTGCTTATAGACAAGAAATTGATGCGATTGGTGTCCCCTGGGGAAGGGAAGTGGTTGACTGGGGGAACAGTTAACTTTTATACACTTTTGTACCTTTTGTATTTTGAACTATGTAAATGTACTAACTAATTAAAAGTAAATAAAAAATTTTAAATAAAGAGCGATTCCCACTCCCGCCCCCTTCCCCAAATTCAAAAGCGTTCAAAAACTTTTCCTGCTTGTTTGCCAAAGATTTAGGGACAGAAACACAGCTCCCGACTCTGATGTGTCCTTTGTGTTGCCATACCTTCACTGTCTTGCTTCACAGCCAATATCAAACCATCAAAAAATAAAAAGTCAAAGAAAGGTGGAATTATGACAGAGGTGGTGCTGGCAAATAACAGTATCTCCCATTATGAAATCTTCTGCTGCTGATAGAATGTCACAGTCCTTGCGGATTTAACCAGATCGTGGGAACTGAGGTGCACCATGAACCGTAAAGCATCGAGCAGCTCATGGGCACTATTACTACGACTGCCAGAGCCTGAGATACAGATACAATCTCCGCCTTACAGACAAAAGGAAGTTCAGAGAAGCCAAGGAATTTGCCCCAGACAGAGTGCCCATTTGCCTGTTGTAGGTAGGAAGGTCATGGCATTTTCCTTCTTGGCTTCTCCTTTAAAGGCAGACACTACAGTGAAAAAAGCTCTCATCAGAGAAATGATAACCCAGACATAACAGCAGAGAAAATTTAATCCAAAATAATCCTTTTAAAGGTGGGAAAATTAGGATCTGGACTTGCTTAAAATCTCACATGTGGTTTGTTCATTCATTCAATCACTTAGTCGTCAAATATTTGTTGACTAACTATAATAACATGAATAACTGATGGTCTTATTACAGAGCTAGACTTGAATAGGCATTGTCTAGGCTAGATGCTGGGGTAGCAATGATGAACAGATGGATACAAATTCCATCTGCATGGAACTTACAGTCTAGTTGGGAAGGCAGACATGAAGGAAGCAAAGGCTCATGGATATTTTTACAATGTTCGATGCTTTGAAGGACATTTTCGATGTATGTAATAGGGAGCATGATCTAATCTCAGTGGTATGAAAACCGTCCCTGGGAGGTGTCATTCAGCTGAGATCTGAAAGATGAGTAGTATTTGAGGAGGATATAACTGGCCGAGGGATTATTTGGTGTATAGATAACAGTGTGTGCCCAGGGTCTGAGATGGGCATGAGTATTACTTTAAGAACTGAAAGAGTGGGGGAGGGTATAGCTCAAGTGGTACAGCGCATGCTTAGTACGCATGAGGTCCTAGGTTCAATCCCCAGTGCCTCCTCTAAAATAATAATAATAATAATAATAATAATAATAATAATAATAATAATAATAATAAATAAACCCAATTACCCAATTACTTCCCCCCAGGACCAAAAAAAAAGAACTGAAAGAAGGCCAACATCATGGAGCATAACGGATGAAGGAGATGGGGGATTGTAAGAGCTGCAGGTGCCACGGGGGGCTGGGTCACGTAGCATTACATGACTTGGGATAGTGTCCCAAGAGAAGCAGTAAGTCACTGAATACTTCTTGGGAGGAGGAGGGAGAAATGAGGGGGGAGCTTGGAAGAGGACTTCATGAAATTATGGAAAGATGGCCCAGGCTGGTGAGCGGAGAACGGATCACGGAAGACGGGAGGAGAAAGCCCTCCTGGTGCCGCAGTGAAGAGGAGACCGCAGTGTGGACAAGGGAGGTAACAGTGGAAGTGAAGGTAATTCTGTGGCCAAATGGGACTCAGATGCAAAAAGTCAAGTGACAGAACCAGAGAAGGGAATTTGCTGTTGCCATTTCAATCAAACTCATTTAGGGTTCGGGTTCTGGGCTGAAGTGCTGGCTGCTACAATTCTCTAAAGCACAACGAATATCTGAACTTAGTATAGAGAACAGACGCTTCTTGTACTCCGACCAGACCCACCTGTGTTCCAAAGGGACAGGACACATGCAAGGCCGACGCACAGCCTCACCGGAGGACCACGCAGCGGGAAGCCCAGCATGTTTGTGATGCTCTGGTTCACCTGGAAGCAAGCAAGCAAGCACTTGGAGGCAACCAGCTAGATGACTAACCACACAGATGCAGAATGTACTTGAGAACCCTGCCTGGGGAGTCAGAGGAAACAGAACCTATAAAAAGCATTGTATAGTTAGGATAGGTTAGGTTATGCTGAAGTGACAAATTAACTCCACCATCTCGTTGGCTTAATTCAACAACACAAGCTGGTTTCTTGTTTATAGTCTATACTCACTGCAAGCCGGTAGGGACTTCTGCTCTGCACAGTCGATCAGAGGCCCCGATTGATGCAATCTGCACCAACTTAGAGCTCTCTGCCTTCCCGGGGGCCTCCTTAGTTGTTGACTCTTGGTGGCAGTGGAAGGGACAGAGCTGAAGGATTGTGCACCAACCCTTAAATGCTCTGGCGGGAGGTAACACACTCACTTTTATTTACAGCCCACGCCAGAATTACTCACGTGGCCCCACATAACTGCAGGCTATCTGGGAATATGGGAAGGGGGTGGTGCATGCATGTTCAGGGAGAATCAGTGTCCCTTCCATGGATTTTCTGGCTGTTAAGATGGGAAATACCCTCCAAATACCGCATCACTGCTGCTTATGAAAATAACATTTACTCTACGTGTACACATGTTTGCCCTCTCTTTCCTTCTCTGCAGCACGTATGCCAGCCGTCCTCCTGGTCATTTGCTGTGCAGAATCAGTGTGACAGTTAAAGCTGTAAAGCTGAGACTAAGAAGACGAATGGAGAAAATGTACTGAGCGCTCTCTGTGTGCCGGACACCACACGGAATGCTGCCTGCTGCTTGCTATCACGTAATAACTGCACAATCTCCATGTGTAGCTATTAAGGTATTGCCCGTTTAATATGGGCTGCACAAACGTGATTTGAAAAGAGAAGTTTGCCCATGATGAAGAATGGACTCTATCTGGAAGGTGAAAAGGAGGGGATGGCGAAAAGCCAAAACCAAGTGCACTGGGGCTGGGGAGAAAGTCTCAGGAATTGAGCATCTTCATGGCAAATTATATTTTAGGAAGTTTTGTTGTCCTTTCGGGATGGAACCACTTTTGGAATTTTCTTGAAAGATCCTCCTAAACATTTACATTGCTTTTTAATTATTAATAGATACCTAAGTATTGTTTCTTTTGGATGCCACCCTGGATGGAGAGAGGCCTTGCAAGGGACCAGGAGGCCAGGGCTTTCTTGAAGTCCTCATATTCTCATCAGTCTGCTTACTCTCTGAGGCTCAGTTTTCCTTATCTGCAAAATGGGGATAGGAAACCTAGCTCATAAGGTCTTTGTGAGGATTTAAGACAATGAATCTAAAGTATTTAACCTAGTGTCTGGCACATTTAGGTGCTCAGAGCACACACGAATCACCATGGGCAGGCTGGTGACGCAGGGACAGATCAGATGCGCGCATCCCCTCAAGCTGCTCAGTAACTTGGAGGAGATGGACACACGGGCAACTAATGGGCACGTGAGACTCCCTGGGCTACATTCTCCATAGAGAGAGAGTGACAAAGGGGACTAAAGAGGGAGCGAGACTGGTGAGTCCGGGACTTAGAATTGTCTCCATGAAGGGGGCTTCAGGTGTGGGGGTGGGCAGGCAATACGGCAAAAACTAAAAGAAGGTTCTTCCATCTGGCACCTCTGCTGCTGTGGAAACATTCCTTCACCTCTCTGAATCCTCACGTGTGGGAGGGACAGAGTCATAGCTGTCTTGAAGATACTTGGTGAAGCCTGAATGAGACCATGATAAACAGCAAGGTCCTACTGCACAGCGCAGGGAGCTGTATTCACTACCTTGTAACGGCCCATAATGAAAAGGAATATATATGTATAAATGAATCACTATGCTGCACAACAATTAACACAACATTGTGAATCGACTAGACGTCAATATAAATAAATAATAAATAAATAAATAACTGAGATCATGAAATCCGGCACCTCGTGCAATTCTGGAAGATAGTAAATACTCTGGCATCTCAATTCCTTTCTCATTCTCGTATCTTCTTCCCTTTTCTCCTCCCCCCCTGTCTCCTCCTGCATGTCCATCCCAGGACCCCGCATCATACCAGAAGCATATGGAGTGAACAGATATAAACTGGTGAGCGGTCACCCTGGACTTCACACTCAGGCCGTTAGCTCCATGGCCGGGGAGACACACTGAAAGGTGCAGAAGAAGAAGGGAAGCATCTAATATTATTTCTCGAAGATCTGACTTGCCAGGAGTTTTACATATGGCCAACCACTGGTCCTGGAAGCCACCCTACTGAATTCTTATCATTCTTATTTTTTTAGGTAGAGGAAAGCAAGGCTCAGACAAACAGCCGGCCCACAGGAACCTGGAAGAGCCAGACAAGGCACCCCACTTGCCGCCCAAATCCATGACTGGCTGGCCACTGACTAAGATAGTATAGTTTTTTAGCTGTTGCCTCGCTGCCTGCCAGTTTTCAGGGCATTCTTTTATTCTCCTTCCAAATTCTTTGGATTAAAGATCATGTTTCTTTTATCACAGATGTGAGGACAAGCCATGCTCCCAGCTGACGACTGCATTAAGATTCTAATCAATTGCTTAAGGGGAGAAAAATGGAAAGAAACAGACTGTGATCAAGGGGTAAGTCTTAGCTTAAGTGCAGTGTGGGGACTGGATGATAGAAACTCTCCTCGTATCATTCAGCAGCCCGGAGCCCAGAGCCTGGGAATGATAGCAGATGCATTTCTTATCTGGCTTCATGCTTTGGGGAGCAGAGGGAACCGAAGGGCTTTAAAATCTCTACCATATATGACTTACCTGTCTCCCGAGCAGGATAAATGACTTCAAAGAACTTAAGCCGCCTGAGAGATTAACAGCTAAGTCAGAGCTGTGGGGTTTATATGAGTTCTTAGTGAAAGATACAGAGGGTGGGGGTGGGGAAAGGCTTGATAACTTGGCTTTAAATCCTCCGGGGGGGAAAAAAAATGGAATAATAACCCTACCAAGAAGTCAGGGCAGTGAAACAGGATCAACTCCATCTGAGAAAAATGCCCTTGCTAGGGGGCTGAATAGAATCCGTGAGCAGAATGACAAAGCATCGATTCAGCGTGGGATGGGAAACCTCTTCTGACGGTAATTATGCGCATTGAAGGAGCAGAACAGCATCCCTAGGTGATGATTTCCCCTTCCTGTTGCAAAGGTCTGTGAGCCAAGCATCACTGTCACACGGGGGCCAGTGGAAGTCTTCTGAAGAAACCGCTGGGGGCTGCTTGTGAACGTCAGCAGGGTGGGCCACCCTGGCCCCACGGCCTAATTTTTTATAAAGCCTCAAATGGTTTTCCATTTTCAAATGGCTGGAAAAAAATCCAGAGAAGGAGAGTATTTCATGCTGTGTAAAAATGATATAAATTCAAATTTCAGCATCCACATGTAAAATCGCACCAGGACATTGTTACATTCACTCATTTGAGTGTTGTCTGTGGCTGTGCTTGTGCTATGAGGGCAGAGTTGAAGAGTGTGGCAGAGACCCCTAGGGTCCATAAAGCCTGAATTATTTACTACCTGGCTTTTCATAGAAAAAGTTTGCTGACCTCTGGCCTAGGAGAACCTGCACTGATTCCTTCTACTTGCACCACCAAGTTAAAGGTTCATCTTTCTTGTCTGGGCGCCTGGAATTCCTGCTGACTCGTCACCCTGCCATAGCTTTTGCTTCTGTGAGTGAATTTCCCTTAAATAAGCCACACAGATCTCTTTTCTCAGAAAAACAACTTTCAAATTTATACTATTAAATTCACCCGTGTAAAGTTACAATTCAATGATTTTTAGTAAATTTACCAAGTTGCATAACCATCACTATCTAATCTTTTTTAACTTTAAAGATCAGATTTATTTGGCATCACTACCCAGTTTTAAAACATTTTGTCACCCTTGTTAGACTCTTTGTGTCCCTTTACAGTCAACCTCCCACCCCAGCCCCAGGCAACCATCCGCATTTCATCTCTATAGATTTGCTTTTCCTGGACATTTCATGTAGATAGAGTAATACAATATGTGGTCAGAGAAGTCTTTTTCAAAATTGCTGTGTAGTTGATTTATAATGTTGTGTTAGTTTCAGGTGTGCAGCAAAGTGATTCGGTTTTATATGTACATACACACACACACACACACACACACATATATTTAGATTCTTTTCCATTACAGGTTATTATAAGACATTGAATATAGTTCCCTGTGCTACACAATAGGTCCTTGTTGCTTATCTATTTTATATACAGGAGTGTGTATCTGCTAATCCCAAACTCCTAATTAATCCCTTCCTACCCCCCAACCCCCATCTTCCTTTTGGTAACCATAAGTTTGTTTTCTATGTCTGTGAGTCTGTTTCTGTTTCATAATGTTCACTTGTAGAGAGAAATCTTTTTAAAGCATGAATCAGATCATGCCACTACCTCACTTAAAGTCTCCCATAGCTTTCCCCAACACCTAGAATAAAGTTCCAGCTCCTCACCCTGGCTCATGAGAATTCAGAGTTGTCTTCCTCCCAAGTCTCCAGCTGCATCTCATGCTACTTTGCCCCTTGTCCACAGCCTCGGAGTGGCAGCCCCAGGAACTTTGCACAGGCTGTCCCCTCTGCCTGGAATGCTCTTCCCCAGTCTTCTCAAATGACTGGCTCCCGCCTCTGCATCAGTTGTCAGTGTAAATGTCACGTGTGATGGGGTGCCTCACCAAAGGAAGCTCTTATAGTTACTCCGTGCATCATAATTAACTCTAATTATTGTGTTTATTTGTTGGCTTAATTCTCTATGATCTGTCTCTCTGCCAAAGACATCAGATCTGTGAGATCAGGGTCCTCCTCTGATCTTTATGGTGACATTCACCACCATAATCTAGGATCAGTGCAATAGCTGACATAAATATCTGTTGAATGAATGAATGAACAAATGAATTTATCAATTTTTATTCAGCTGGACCTTTTATAAAGTCTCCTAACTGATCTCTTTCC